GGAAGGCCATTTAAGTCGTCTTATTTTTTTCTAAAAAATTGAGGTGAAATTCACATAACATAAAATTAATCATTTTAAAGAATACAATTCCATGGTATTTAGTGCATTCACATCATTGTGCAACTGTCACCTCTATATAGTTCCAAAACATTTCATCACCCCCAAAGGAAACCCCTTCCCAACACAGCAGTAACTCCTCATAGACGGCATTTTTTTAAAACAAGGAGGAAGCGTTTCTCAGGTGGACTCGGAAAGGAGGCCATTCCAAAAGGGGAAATTTAAAGAGGCCTTGTGACGTCAAGGCACTCGGGATGGTGCAGGTGTGTGTTCCGGGGAGGAGGGCCGGGGAGGCAGGAAGGGAAAGGCAGGGCAGGGGCAGTGAGGACCATGCACGACAGCTCCGTCCTAAGCAGCTTGAGTCAGTCGGGGCGGCGGGGGCGTGGCCGGGGAGGAATTGGTGGTGTGGGGCCCGTGTGGGTAACATTCATCCTGGGAGGGATATTGTCAGCTCCCGTATGAGTTCCCTTTGAGCCAGGCAGGGTTTCTCAGCCTTGGCACTACTGATACATATTTGGGGCTGGATAAATCCCTTCCTGTGCAGGGCTGTCCTTTGCTTCGCAGGATATTCAACAGCATCTCTGGTCTCTACCTACTACCAACCAACCAGTAGTGTCACAGGTGGGCACAGGTAACCAGGTTCTTGGTGATCGCGGACAAAAAATTGAACTGAACACACAGAATTTATAGTAGAAAGCGAGAAAAAGCAGATTTATTAAGACACACAGAACATGGAAGCAGACCAACTCTGAGCAGAGCACAGCAGAGAAGAGCAGAGCAGAGCCTAACAGCAGCCCTGAACTCAGGGGCTAGAGGGTTTTTATTCCTCTAGGGTGGGTCTCCCACAGTGCTGATTTATTATAATGAAGCAGGGGTCAGGTAGCATCTTCTGCGCAGGTGCATTCCTGATTCACTAGGATTCGATGCTTTTCCAGATGGAGAAGCTACCAGTCTTAGAACAGGGTCTCCGCCCTTTATCCATGTTCTTTATCTCAACCCTGGGCCACCTCTGGAGTTTCCTGCTTCCTGACTCTCTCCTGCCTCAGGTAGCATCCACCTCACTGTCTCACCTGTTTGGACAACCAAAGATGTCTCCAGGACTTGCTAAATGTCCCTGGGGAGGGACAAAATCACCCCCTTTGAGACCCCTGGATGGGCAAATCACATGGTGCTATGTGAGGCACCCACCTACCCACCTCCCTGTCCGCCCCCCGACCCCACCGATCTGTATGCAGACAACCAGGCATGTGACCACCTCTGAGGACTGGGATTTGGGTCCCAAGCTTACAAACAAGCAAATGAGTGTTTGAAGTTTGTGGCATTATTTTATTCCTTCCTCTATTTATTCAATAAACGTAAATGCCTACTATGTGCCGAGTACTGAGAACACCGCCACAGGGAAGAGTTACTGAGGGATTTTGCAGCTCATCCTTTCAGCTCCCCACCCCCAAAAAGAAGATCCATTCTGGGAGTCAGGGCTCATCCTGGGAGGAAGGTGGGAGGACCGAGGAAGCTGTGGCGCGCTTCCCGGGGAGGCCGTGGGAGACTGGGACATGGTAGGAAGGGAGAGGGGTCGCTGGTATCAGCTGGTGCCTTGCCCCCTGCTAGTTAGTGTCCCAGTCCTCTCCACCATGCCCCCCCGCCCCCGCATGTTCCTGGGAGTGGCAGCACCTCAAGGGAATGGCTGTGCGGTGGGGTGTCCTAGGCGGGCCTGAACCCCTGGCCCAGGAGCTCCTTGGCCAAGATCCCTGTGCCCAAGGGTGACACAGAAGCAGAGCAGCTGGTGGCTTCAAGGAGGATGACATGGGCTCAGATAGTGAGCGTATCAGTGGCATCCAGTGTGGATTGAGCGCCTGTCCCAAATGTTCTAAACTGTGAAATACCCTCGAGAACTTTGTACAACCCAAGGGACAAAGAGATGGAGGTTCAATTGCAACCAAGTTTTTTATTTTTGTTTTCTGTTTTTTTGCTAAGTCCAGGAGGATGAGGGCTCTGATTCAGATTCAAATGAACTTAGAAGAGTTATATGATGGTTTCAGCATAAAATTCACACACATGACCTAAAGATGAATGGACCACTGCCCTGGCTCTCCAGGGACTTGCGGTCTAATGGAAACCCTGGCCCCTACATTACTTGTTCAGAACATTCTGAGGAATTACATACCATTGTAGCCTTTTATTTGATTTGATTTCTACAATGGCATCAAGTTGCTAGAGTCCATTTTGCAGATGAGTGATTTAGCGATTGCCCACAGCCTAAAAGTGTCAGATCCAGTGCCAGAATATAGGACTTCAGACTCCAAGCCTCATTCTTTTCCCTGTCGATTGTAGTTCATGAAGCTACGAGGAAATCCTGGTTAGACAAAGGACAGCTGATGGCTATCAGAAGGAGTTAGTCCTCATTTAACGCTGATATGGTTTAGATGTTAAGCAAATGATATATAATGAAACCAATTTACCACAGGTTAATATTTTTAAAAAAGAGTTGACTTGCTCTGACATCTATCAAGGTTATAACAAAGCAACATTGAACAAAATGACATTATTTGAGGACCTGCTGTACTCCGATCTCTTGGGCTTGTTTCTTATCCGTAAAGGACAATACCACCTCATTAAGTGAACAGGATTTTGTTGTGTGCGTAATGTATGTACGTACATACACATGTACTGATGTATGTACGAAGGAAGCAAAGTGCCGGTCGTACTTCCATTCGGTAACTCACTGTAACACACCGGCATAGACGATAGGGAGCCGTCAGACATTCTTGTGCAGAGTAAGGATAGGTTGGAAGTTGTTTAGGAAGATAAACCACACAGCTATGTGCAGAGCAGGTTGAGAGGGTTAGATGAGAGGCAGGGCCCCTGGGTCAGAGGCTGGCAGTTACATGCAAGTGCAGTAATGAGCCACAGGGACCCAGCTTGTGGGACAAGCAATGTGGGACAGAAGGAAATGGAGAGGACTGAGGGCTTATTCCAGGGTGAAAATGCCACATGCTCAGCACATTATCCACGACAAGAGGGAGAATTGTAAGAATTAAGTGCCGCACGTATTTGGAGATAACTTGTCACTTTGGGGGAAATATTTAAACTATGCATTTTGGCACCGAGTTACAAGTAGCTACCAGCCCTTTTCCCCTGAACCTGTAAGCAATTTCATTAGTAAAAGACCAATCAGATGTTTGAAAATATCTAAAAGATGAATGCTAATTAAGAGAGAGTGTTTCCGAAGAGCTTTATGTCTCAGAGGGAAACGATCAGGGCAAGCACAGATCGGGGTAACAAATTACAAGGTAATTTTACCAGGGTGAGAACACTGCCAGGGGATTGCTGGATTCCTCTAAGCAGAAAGCCAGACTTTCAGCACCCAATCTTCTGAGCTTTTAAGCACCTCCAGAGAGTGAGTAATAAAGAGCTTTGCAAGTCGAGCAGCCCTGCCAAGAGGGGAAGCTTAGCCAAGTGGAGCGGAAGGCATCAGGCTCAAAGGCACGCATTCCTTTGTTCCAACTCAGCCAGCAAGTTTGCATCGTCTAGCTTTTGCTTTAGAGAAGTAAGAGAAAATGTCCTGACAGCAAAAAGCTTCAGCGAGATTCTCCAGCCACCCGTTTTCACTTCTAGGCCTCTCTGGTATCAGACAAGGCACGCTGGGGAAGCAGCTCAGGCCCTTCCCCAGGGGTCAATAGAAGAGGCAGCCTGTGGAAGCCGTTCCACCGGGAAGGGTCCTGCACCGCCGCCCTAGTTTGGGTGGCACTGACTGAGCACCAGGGCTGAGGTGCTTTGTTGGCTCTCTTTGAGGATCTCTGCAGTTCTAAACTAGACGGTACAAAGAGTTGGGCAGGCAGTTTGGTGTAAAGCCACGAGAAAAAACATTTTCTACACATCAATGCATTAGTTCTTACAAAGGAAAAGTGATTTACAAACGAGTCCTTTTTATTAAGCATGTCTAGTAGTTAGCCTTCCTTGAAAAGAATCAAGCCACAGGGCTTTAAAGAGATTCTAAATGTAGTGCCTTTAAGCAGGCAAAATCGGTGGTTCTTTTATAGCTTTTCTCCTAATCATACAGCATGATTTAAAATGCATTTTGTGGAACTATCACAAGATTTGTTGGCATCAAAGAGCCCTCAAGATTCAAATCTGTACTGTTCGCTCTGATTTTGAGCAAATTAATCCTTCTGAGCTTGTTTCCTTCAGGGGCCGAGTGAGTGGACAGGAGGGGAAGGCTGGGGGGACAAGAAAGGGAGGACAGCGCGGTCAGATAAGGAGGCGGCGGGGGATGGAAAGTCGCTGCTAACAGGGACAGGGTTTCTCTTGGGGGTGACGAAACGTCCTGAAGTTAGTGGTGCTGGTTGTGTGACTAATATACTGAAACCCATCAGTACATTTTAAAAGGGTGAGTTCTATCTCAATTATACCGTTATTATTTTTTTTCTAAAAGGACCCAGAAAATGTGAGGACATTTGGAAAGGTGACAGGAAATGGGGAATTTTCAAATTCTCTGGTAGGGTGGAGAATCCAGTTCTGATCTATGGAATAAAAAGTCATTATTTAGGAAGGGTGGAAACATTTTTCTTGCTAAATTCTAAATTTTACGTTCTCACGATACCTTCTGAAGTTTCATTTTGGTAAGAGATTTCTCCTTCACTTCTTAGGCTAAATTATTAGTGGAATATTCATGTGATGTTTTGGAATAAAAGGTGATAGATTTTCGGAGCCTGTGCTGTTTCACACTGGGACTCAGGGCCTCCTAAGAAATACTTACCAAAGACTCTGTAGTCACTACCCCAAACTGCTTTGAGGGTACTATTCCAATACAAACCACCACAGGCACAACCATTTAGATTTCTAATTTATTATTAAATTACATAACAAAGCTTCTTCTATACAGTCAGAAAATGCACATTTAGATGCGAACAAAAATTAAATACAAATACAATTAAACTGGTTCCAAGAAGCCATTTTAAAAGCAAAAAATTAGAAAGTGCATTTGGAATAGATTTTTAAAAACCTGTATTGGCATTTTTCATGAGAAAACATCTTCCATCATGGTAAAGTGTGATTGGAATTGATTTCCCTCCCTAAAAGCTAATAGGATGGCAATAAATGCAAATACTTTGATACTAAAGTGAGACTTTGCATATAAAGAAAATACGAAAGCTCTCTCAAGACATGGCTCAGCTTTGTCTCAGCTTCTTATTCAATTAACATCTGTAAGAGTTATTTCTTCTGCCCTAGCCGAGTGGCTCAGTTAGTTGGAGCATTGGCCTGTACACCACAAGTTTGTGGGTTCAGTTCTCACCCTGGGCACATACCCAGGTTGCGGGTTTGTCCCCAGTCAGGGTGTGCATGGGACCTGATGGATGTTTCTCTGCCCCTTCCTCTCCCTCTCTTAAAAAAAAAAAAATCAATAAACATATCCTCAGTAAGAATTAAAAAGTCACTTGTTCCTTCATCATTTTCTTTTCTTCTATAAAACTGAAGGATATGCAGATTTATAAAGGAATAACAAAAATTAGTTTATAAAGATCATGATGTAAAGTTCTGCATCTTTTTGGAGACCAGGGTAAACTCAAAGGAGAATGGAATGCAACCCTTTCGTCTGAGTAGAATCCATTTGCTCTTTAGTTACATTTGCCACAAAATTCAGTGTAATGCTAGACATTGCCATTTATCCTCATTAGCTTAATATTGCAAGTCAGACAACCCAATTTCCAAGAAATCATATCTGCTTAATGATCAAACATAAAGTATTAGAAACCAAAAAGGCCAGTCCAGTTCTTTAGATGTCCTTTACACCAGGTTGAGATTATTAACAGTGAAGCAGAAAATTAATGGTGGGAGTGCAAGTCCAGGGCGCCTCACCTCCATAGAAGCCAAAAGGCTCAGCAAGTCCACTTTTCTATTCAGATGTATTCAGCATCCAATAGGAAAGAACTCAAGTAAATATATTTGGTTCTAGGTACAAAAAGTGCCCTCATGATGTCTCTCATCAGCCGTCTCCGTGCTCAGGAGCCGACTCCCACGCCTGATCTGAGCGCTGGGCGGTCTGCAAAATGGCATCGTCTGTACAGGGGATTTTGGTACAAAGGAGAGGAAGGGTGGAGAAGGAAAGCCCTTTTCTAACATCAAACAAAGGGTGAGCGGTGCAGGCTGCAGGGAATCCTGTAGCATCTAACAGAATAATAAAAAAAGAACAGAGAGATAGCTGGGACAGAGTGCCTTAAAGCACTTGGATATTTGGGCTTGAACTTCAGTAACAGATTTATTAAATTTTTACTAAAGTTACCAGCACACATTGAAACAAAATCTCAGAAGTATGCCTTTTGGAATTTTCTGCCTTTGTTTCACAAAAACTACGGTTTTTCATACTTTTTGTGAAATGGAAAATTTTGAGTGGTTACAAAAAAAGATCCCAAAAGGAAAGATCATTCTATAAGACAATGGCTGAGGGAGACTACGCCCCCTAAGAGGCAAGGTTTGGGACTGAGAACAGGAAATCCCTTCTGCTCTGACCTGCTGTGAGAGCGGCTTACCCTTGGCTCCTGGGCCTGGCAACAGGGCTGTAAGGACAGCAATAAAGAAGAGAAAAACCAAGATGGCTACAAAAGTTAAAAAAATGGAACTGAAATACTTCTTAGAGATCAGCTACCACGGGATCCACATTGAGACTCTACTTGTGATGGCACACTTCTGGCCCCTGGGTCTAGGCGCTCTCTCTGCAAACGAGGAAGCGAGGCAGAAAGGATGCGCGCAGCCCTAGCTCATCTCCATTCGGCCCTGGGCGCCCTCACGATGGGCCGCAGCCCCGGGGGCCGGGGGTGGGGTGGGGGGGGGTTAGTCAGACCCACCTGACACCCACGTCAACACCACGCCTTTTCAACTTCCTTGGAATAACTCGTTTCTTTATCTTCATAAAGAAAATAACCAACACAATTCTACTACTTCATTTAAGCAGAACCCTAATGGAAAGGCTCATCGGTCATCAAAAATGCTTGCCTGCTTAGCTGCAGCAAGTAGATTCACTCAGGTTCTAGTTTTACTGTCACACAATTAACTTCAATGAATGCACCAAATAATCAGACCAGTAAAAAAGACTGGTAGTATAATTAAATAAATAGTTTTATTTATGGTACTTCAGATTTTATCAATGCCAACTATATAGCAACCAAAGTCCCATAAATTCTAGCTGAGGTACAACCACCAATCAAGGCCCTTTGAAAAATCAAAGATAATAAAGTGTCAGGGGAGAAAAGTTTTGTTCTCCCAACAGAGAATTTAATAGATGAACTTCCCTGATCCTAGAAGGTTCACATTGGGAACACTTAAACTCTTTTTTAAGGGCATCCCCAATCAACTACTGATCAACAATCCATATTTAGAAAAATAAAACCCATAACAAAAATATATCAAATGCCTTTCATACCCAGAACATAATAAAGTTTTGACACCAGAATGAAAAACCTCTCAGTCTCTGTATCAAACCATGGGTTAGTCTACCCACCAGCCTGTATATGACGTTCCTCTGAACGGCACACACTGTTGACACATTAAGACGTAGTTAGGAACTACATGTTAATATCCTTTTATTCCCGGTGGCACAGCCTGAAGCCAATGCTGTAAGTACTATAATAAATTCCAATGGTGAAAAGCAGTCTTCTTCCTTGGTGAGGAGTGTAGATGTTGGAAGTCTTCGAACTATCTGTGGTAGTTTAGCCAAGTAATGAATTTACAGAAACTGAGAAATGGTTAAACTTGAAAAGAATTCTGGTGGGTGGTTTAAAATTTTGTCACTGTCCAGGGATGATAACAGAAGACAGGTGCAGATAGAGGGGGATTCTGTCACATGCATCTTCAACAGCAAAACCATTCTTTGGGTGTTTGGAAAAGCTTAACACACTTGGAATGAACAGGTTTTCACAGAACACAGAATTCCTGTGACATCAGGTGGTAGTTTTTAAAACTTTTGCTTATAAATCATGGAGCATTTACAAATGCAATTACCTTAATGGCAACCCTTCGATCAATGTCTTTCTCCAGGTGCCCTGTGTACTAGACCGCACCGAGGACCGCGCAGGCCCCTCGCTCAGCCCCGGTGTTACTCTGGCTCGGTGAGGAGTGTGGGGCACTGGTAGACACTGGCTATTAGTTTCTTTAGTCCTGGTAGAATGAAGATTTCACTTCCTCATGAATGAGTAGCATATATTAACCCAATAGAGGAAATAAACAAAAATCAAAACAATAACTGGCTCCTTAAAAAAAGAAGCCTGTTATTCCTGATATTTTTTCCAGCAATAGTTACCCCCTGTGTGCACATGATAAAAAAAAAAAAGAGAGAGAGAGAGAAAAAAGCTTTTTTGCAGTGTTTCTCATTTCAGACAACCTCACCTCTGTTCAAGTTGGCCTGTCAGCATCTCAAAGAATCTGTGAAAGACGGAATTTTCCTTGAATACCAAAAGAGCTGGGGACACAGAGTAGGAATTTATCAAGAAATGACTTGTGATTTTTCATCATGAGTATAAAATAAAAGGAAAAGAACTATCTTTATTCACAGCCCAATCTGGAAGCTAAAAGGAAAGCAGTCTTTGGATAGAGAGACCTGGTGTTCTAAAGAGTCGGTCCGGCTCTAAGACCTGGCTTGTCATCGGCCTTCAACACTGTCACTGAAGCACAGACACTGTTTCTGATCGGTGTACTTACCTCCTGGGGAGACAAAAGCAACAGAAAACTTTTCCTATTTTTCTTTTTTTTTTTTTAAACTAAAAACAGAAGGAGGTGTGTGTTAGAAAAAACAGCACAGAGAAACTGTGGCTTCCGCTCAGGCCGACCGCATCACAGAGGACAGCAGCATCAGTCCTGGACAATCCCGCTGGTCAGGCTCTTTGTCAGGATAGTCGGCGTCTCCTTCCTGCTTCTCCTTATTCCAGATAGGGGCCTGAGAGTGGTGGCTGTCAAGAGTCCCTGGAGATGTCCCGTCAATGGAAAGCATACAGTAGCAATAGGATGGTACAGACACCGATAACACCACCCAGGATGAGAGAGTCTCGCCGCTTCCTAAGGTTGATTCGTTGGATCAGGCTGTTCACAGCAGGGAAGCGATCTTTGGGAAATCTTTATTAAGGTCATATTTGGAAACTTCTGTAGTGAAAAGTCACAGAAATCATAAAAACAGAGATCAGTAGAATCCAGAAACAATAAGTAACAGGAAGAAAATCACATGGAAGGAGTGCAGCCTTTAGCAAACACACACGCCAAAACTGGAAATGCCCAGGTCCCTCACAAATTCAAGTGCCACAGCACACCGCAGGACACAAGGACGACTAAAAAAATTAACAGGGAGAGGGGACGAAGAAAATAACAACAATGACAGCAACCATGTATTAAGGGATTACTGCCAGGCTTCGGGTCAGGTGGTCAGAAACAGAGGACCCTGCAGGGCAGGGAAGCATATGTGCAGCCGGTCACCGCCACCGCCCCCCGACCCCGCCCTCTCTCCCTCCCCCCACCCTCATTCCCACACACGCACACATTCTGTCTCTATCTTTGTCCCTTCTCTCAGGAGACCAAAAAGTTTTGCCAGGGGGTTTTGAGCTACCACTCCTCTCCCCACAGGGCGAGAAGCTCCCTTGGATACAGGCAATTGGTGGGAACCAATTCTAGGGTCTGTATAATCAGGCACTATTAATTACTAAAAATTTTTTATTCCCTTTGCATCAGTAGGTAGGACATGGAAGTAGATTAAACTGCTTTAGTTGTCCTATTTGGGGAACACTTAAAAAGAGAGAGAGGAAAATTTCAACTTCAGGGATTTTACAGAAGTTACAACTATATTTTCCTTAGTATTTTAAAGTATCTTCATAGTCCTACTAGTTTGTATGTGGTAGACCAAATTACACCCTGGTTTGTGTTTCTAGCAACGTTCCTGACTATACGCCTGCGGGCGCACCCTTGTTGTTAAGAGGTATTATACCAAGTTCAGAGAAACCACCACCAAAATGACCCAGGAGGACACCAGAGCAGGGGCCGTCCCTGCTCCTCGCGGGGCCTCACTGCGTTTTCCTGCAGCAAAATGACTCCCAGCAGAGACTAGATCTGTGTACTTACACAGTCTACATATTGTATGACTAGGGCCATGTTTTCTTCTAATGGGAATTTCCCTATGCATTTAGAATAGAGTTTTATATACTATAGGCATTATTGTGTTTTTTTTCAATTAAGTAATGAAAAAAAGAACAATTTGCAGAAATAGTTCTTAAAATGTAGAAAATCAGGAAGCATGCAGTAACAGGCAAAAACTTTTACAAGGTAGAGCTCTCATACAGAGCAAAAGCTTCATCCTTCCTTGCTTGGTAAAAGAAGGATCAACACTCTACTCAGGGAAAAGTATGAGAACTCTCAGCATTAGGAAGCCCTGTCTATGTGGGCACATCTCTGTCCAGTTTACCGTTCGGGGGCCTCCCCTGCCCTTCTGCAATAACCCAGCTCGGTCCATCTAACAGGGTGGAGCTGCCTTGTCCTCTGCCCTCAGGCACACATTCAGCCTCAGGACTGGCCAGGAAGAACACTCTCTCCCCCTGGCCAGTGGCTGGGTTAGGAACAGGCAGTGACTCAAGCTGGGGGCAACCACAGTCCTCTTGGGACGTTTTCCACAGCTGTTGGAAAAGACACCCTTTTTCCATGGGGAGTTTTGAACTGGTAGGAGGCGACTCGTACCGTCATCTCATTCACCGTGAGGAGAAAACAGGCCTGAAAATGAGGCCAGTGCACAGCGGAATGGAAGAGATGGAGTAGGCAGGGGGAGCAGAGAGAGGAAGAGCAGATTCTTGATGATAAAAATCTGAGGCCGTGAACCCAGCCATGCCTTAAGCCAAATTTTCCAGGTCTATGAATAAATTAATTCCCTCTCCCGCTTAGGTCAGCCTGAATTTGGTTTCTATTACAACCCCTCTATGGGGTCCTAACCACACCCATTTTATTTGATTTTCTTAATACACATTCTTTTGAAATGATTGTAATTTGTGATAATGATAAAATGAGATAATACATAGAACAGTATTCTGTAAACCATATAGCCCTATATAAAACAGACATGGTTTTGGATGTGTGGTTTCAGAAAAAAACTGGAACATACCAACACACTTCAGAATATTCTTTTCCCTAGGCAACTAAGGTATCAAACTAAAAGTAACTTCAAATTACCCCAGATGAGAAGATACTAAACTTTTGAAAATTATATTGGTTCTTTCCCCCTTAGTAACTGGGGAAGGAAACTTTTTCCCCCCCTAAAAGTCTTGATTTCTTAGTAAACAAAATGTTTCAGAGTAGCGGGCTCATCAGTTTCCCCACGGGTTTCTCAGAGGTGTCAGTCATACTAATTTAACTTGGGAAAATGAAGAATTAAGGTAGTGGTCACAACGAACAAGCAGTGACTCCTATCCTACGGTTCAGCATGTACACATCAAGTCACAATGAAAATATAAGTAGTTACAACTCATCTACGCATATATCTGTCTTCTTCCCCATCTGCCACTGACTTATTCTCCAAACTGAGAGAAGAAAAATCATATAATTTATGATGTTTAGGTAAGAATAATGTATACTGTGGAATTCTAATAATGGTATGAGAGCTTCTGTAAAGTAAAATAGTTTTGTGAACAATTTGAAAATTCACATTTATAATATTTTTTGCAACCTAATAATAATAAACCTCTAGTGTGCAATCTTTTTGAAATGGTACTAAACAATATGCACTTTCACGAAGTAGGAATGCAGGGTACATTCGCACTGTGTAATCAGTGACGGCCTCGACCACTGTGGATGACGGCCACCTGCCAGCCGGGCTGGGGGAGGGGCCGTGACAGGAAAGCACGCACACAGATTATTCCCGCCCCCCAAAGTGCCACAGATTGCAAACTTTCAAAAAGGATACTGGCCAAAGTGTTCATCTTGCTTTGAATCGACTTCAGCATTCCTCTCTGTGAAGTCATATTTTCTTTTGTTGCCATAGCAATGCTGCAAGGGAGAAAAAGGAAGTTAATTAAATTGGCATTTAAGATTATCCTACATGGATCCATTATGCTCTTAAAAGTGAACAGAAAACTAAGACGAACAACATCATCTTGAAAAGCACTGGGCAAGAAAATTAAAAAAAAAAAAAAAATCTCTTCCAAAGCCACCTTCCCATTGTCCTTTTTCTAAATGACTACTACATCCCCGCTTCTATCTCCTGGTATCTTTTTGGGAAGGCAGTAAGCCATTTTGTGTGTTTTTTCCTCCTCAAAGTTACAAATGAAATAAGACAGTAACAGACAAATCTACATACTACAAAAGCTTCTAAAAATGGTTGTAAAAGGGGCCAGCTACTACAATATCCTTTATCAGGAAAAACTGTTGAGGGGGAAGTAGGGAATTACAATAATGAGAAAAGAACCCAAAATGTGACATATCACAAAATGTTCATATAATGAGACCTCAATTTATGAAAAGACTATGTTCCCAAAGTCGAGCTGAGAACCTAACCAAGCAGGTGTTAGGACACACATGCAACATTATGCTAGATTTCTACGCCAGGTAACAAGGGTCATTAAACAACTTGAGAGAGAAGGAAAAAAAGTCACTGCAGAGTACAGTCTCTTCCATGTAACTACTTTAATGTTCTTTTCAAAAACAATGTCAGTTAATATCTTTTTGCTATCAATGGCAAGATTATTAACTTCCAACAGTCTTATCTCCCTGGACATTAAAATCCTATAGGGCAAGGTCAGTATCCCTTTTCATAGGCAACACACAGCAGTGTTGGCAGAAGAGACACAGAGACCAATGGAACAGAACTCAGAGCCCAGAAATAAAACCACATGTATATGGGCAACTCATTTTTGACAAAGGAGCCAGAAACATACAAGGGAGGGAAAAAAGCCTCCTCAATAAATGGTGCTGGGTGAATTGGAAGCCACATGCAAAAGAATTAAACTAGATTACAGTTTGTCTCCTTGCACAAAAATTAATTCAAAATGGATCAAAGACCTAAATATAAGGTCTGACACAATACAATATATAGAGGAAGACACAGGTACTAAATTTATGGACCTGGTCATAGAGAACATTTTATGAATTTGACCCCAAAGGCAAGGGAAGTAAGGGCAAAAATAAATGAATGTGACTGCATCAAACTTAAAAGCTTCTGGACAGCAAAACAAACCAACAACAAAACAACCACCAACCTAGTTAACCAACAAAGGGTTAATATCCAAAATATATAAAAAACTCACACAATTCACACCAAACAAAAAATCCAATTAAAACATGGCGGAGAACCTGAACAGACACCTCTCCAAAGACATACAAATGGCCAAGAGACACATGAAAAGGTGCTCAACCTCACTAGCTGTTAGGGAGATGTGAATCAAAACTACAATGAGATACCACCTCACACCAGTCAGAATGGCTGTTATCAACAAGTAGTAACAAGTATAGGAGAGGCTGGGAAGAAAAAGAACCCTTATTCACTGCTGGTGGGAATGTAAACTGGTACAGCCACTACGGAAAACAGTATGGCTGTTCCTCAAACAACTAAAAATGGAGCCCTGATCAGCGTGGCTCAGTGGGTTGGGCTTCATCCCACAAAGTGAAAGGTCACCAGTGTGACTACAAGTGTGGCATGTGGGAGAGGCAACGGGTTGGTGTTTCTCTCTCACACTGATGTTTCTCTCCCTCTCTTCCCCTCTCTCAAAAAATAAATAAATAGGCCTGATCAGGACGGCTGCTGCCGTATGGGGGATGCGTCGGCACCGGGATCCTGCCGGCTGCTCTCTCGGTTCTCTCCCGGGGGCCTCCTTCCCCAGTCTCTCCTTGGGCGTCTCTGGCCCACTCTGCCCCGCCTTTGCTGGAGACCATGCCTGTTATTTGAAAGGAAGACAATGGCAAATGGCAGGTGCACAGAACTAGAGTTAGACGAGGACTTTAGAAAAAGGTTGCCGACCACTGACCTAGAGAAAGAGCCATGGGCACCTTTGCTCAAAGCAGAGAAAAGCACAATGTAGCACCAGAATGAGGATCTGAAGTTAAATGATATGGATTCTTGTCCTACAGCCCAGAGACATTGTGAGGTTCAACTGGGATAATATATCTGATACTTAATAGGGGGCTGAAGAGGAAGACTGATGGATCCTTAGAACCAGGTAAATAAAGAATACAAGCTCCTCCTATATGATTTGAACAATAGTATCTGCTTTGCAATCTTCAAAAAGTTGCGTTGAACCTTAAAATTAGATAATAAATGTGAAAGGAAATCGTAAACTCTAAAGATAAATAAATAAATAAATCTTGTACAAAACCCTAAAAATAAAGTTACTGTATTACCCAGCAATCCCTCTTCTGAGTTATCTACTTGAAAAATTGAATACTATTTGCAAAGATATATGCACCCCTATATTCACTGCAGCATTATTCACGGTGGCCAAGACATGGAGACAACCAAAGTGTCCTTCAGGACTGGATAAAGAAGATGTGACACATGTATACTATGGAAGGCTGCTCAGCCGTAAGAAAAGACGAAATACTGCCATTTGTGACAACATGGATTGACCTTGAGAATATCATGCTAAGCGAAATCAGTCAGTCAGAAAAAGCAAAGAACCATATAATTTCATTCCTATGTGGGATACAAAACTGAAACTCATGGACACAGACAGACAACAACAATATGGTAGTTACCAGAGGGAAGGGGTGGAGGGTTGTAAAGGGTCAAAGGGGTCAACTGCATGGTGGTGGAAGATGATTTGACTTTAGGGGGTGGGCACACAACGCAATATACAGATCACGTATCATAGAAATGTACACTTGAAGCCTATATGACCCTATTAACTAATATCACCTCAATACATTTCATAACATTTTTAAAAAGGCAACAGGAAATAGAACATTCTTGACTAATTCTGAAAGTATCTGAAACATTAAAAAAAAAAATAAGCCTGTTGCTTCAGAAGAGATTCTGGGAAGAGGATGATCCTTGACCTCATCTACGCCCAGTCCCCCGCACTGAGGCGCGCAAGAACAAAGGCAGAGGTGCCGCGGGAGTCCCCCTGAGGGCCAGAGTTCCCTTGAGATTTCCAGGGGCAGAAAGCCAGGGAGAGCTACACTGCTGTGCTCTCTCAGGTGAGGGCAGACCCAGGGAACTGATGGCAGGGCAGACAACATTTTCCTCCAGCCTGACGCAAAGACCTACATTTTGTTGCATTTCTGAGGAGCTCAGGCAGGCGAAGACAGGGCTGCAGCGAGGGACTGAACTGTTCCCAGGCCCTGCAGCTGGACAAGGACTGCCACACACAGCCAGGGAGACCTGTAAGCGGAGAGTTCACAGGTTTCCGGCTAGTGTGATACCCAGCTGCTAGGAGGAAAAATCGCTGGGCCACCCATTACCCCCTGGTATGTCATTGCTATAGGGTCTCTGATGACCAGACATATCCGGGACTGGCTGAACACATTTTTGGACAGGCAAGACTTGGTATCCTATTGAAGGAAAATGCTAGAGAGAGTACCCTAAGCAAATGACAAATGAATCAAAACTGAAATTTCAGGACTTGAGAAGGCAAAGAAGAAACAAAAATGTATAAGAAGATATATAAATGGATATTTATTGAAACATTATTTGGATCAGTAACAGGACAAAGAAAGGATTATTTGGAAAAGTAAAAGGCAAAATAAAAAAATTGGAAGTACCACTGGAATGGTTTAGTAGATTGTAGTATAACCATATGAAATAATGTTTGGTTATTAAAAAGAATGAGTTGGTATTAATTCTATTAACTTGGAGGTATGTTTGTCATATACTCAATGATTAAAGCAATCTATAGAATATGTAGAGTATGAGTTTTGCAATCTATAGAATATGTAGAGTATGAGTTTTTTTGATTTTAAGAAAAGAAAATTTGTGTATATTTGTATGACAGTAAGAAAAGTATTAGATACAATAACAGTCAGTTAATATAAGGTATTTTAGGGGGAAGAAATGAAGGGACTCTACCAGGAGATGAACCTCATATATTTATAGAATTGTTTAAATTGTTACAATAAGAACATTGTACTTTTATAATATATAAATATCTAGTAAACAAATTAGAGGAATTCCACCTGAGTGATTGAGAAATGCTAATAACATCACCAGCACCAAATCTACCACTGTTACTCACCTCAGTACCACTATGAGTCAAGTAATGATTAACAAAGGTTTTCACCAGATCCTAGAAAAGTTCAAGCATTGAAGGGATCAGGTATATCTGAAGGCAGAAATGTGGAACAGGTCTAAAAGTGGAAAAGTGTGACAATTTGTACAAAGGATTGTCAGACCCTAGATTACCTTCCCCAAACCATATGGTTGGATTACTGCCCCCAGTTCCAGAGGAGACCTAACCTAGGAGAAAAGGCCTAGAGGTACTGGCCGACATTTCCAAGTCCCCCATGACACAGCCAGGCCCCTTCCTGATCACCCGCCGTGAGGCCTACCGCCCAGCAAAGTCCCCTACCAGGCACACAGAAGGAGCTTTTAATCACTGGATTTCGGAGCCCCTCACCCTTAAGGATGAACCAAGACCCAAGAATCACCAGATACTGGAGGAGAGCCTCTAACAAAGAAGGCAGAGACCTAAATAACCCAACCAGCGAACAGAAAAGTGAGTCTGAGGAAACAGGCAATGAAGGAAGCTCAGGAAACTCTAAAATCAACAAATTGAGTAAACCTCCCAGAAAGCAGAAAGACAAGTGGAAACAGAGAAAAAGTAAGAAAAAGAACAGAAGATGAATTTCCAGACTGTAAGAGCCTACCAAAAGTCTAGTACAATGGACTAGCGAAGACAAAGCACCGGGAACTTTAATTGGCACTGGACTTAAAAAGCAATACTGGAAGCAATGCCTTCAAAATTTCAAACTAATTTCCTACCTAGAATTCTATGCCTTAGCTAAACAATGAACCAGGGTATGAGTAAAACAAAGACTTTCTTATATGTGAATGTGGGAAGTCCATAAAATTTACCTCCTGTTCTTTCTTGGGAAAGTACTAAAGGACATAGTCCAGCATAATAAGGGAATAAACTAAGAAAGTGGAAGACACTAAATCCAAGAAATAGGTGATCCAATAAAGAAAATTAGTTTAGGGTGATGGCGAAAGGACATTCCAGGGCCAGAACAGTATGAACAGGCGCAGAGAACAAGATTAGAGAAGAAGGAAGCAGGCAATGTCAACTTCATAATATACTGAATTTTAGATCCAAAAAAACAAAAAGAGCACAATTAGAGTCAAACTAATAATGTCCTTTATGTCATTAGTTCTTATTCATTTTGCAGTTTAAGTGTATGTCTATGACAGCATGTGATACATTTAAAATGTGGTTGTTTTAAAATTTACTTTACAGGATATTTCAAAATTGACCTTATGGTCTTGTATAAAGTAACAGAATTCAAAACTGGGCTGAGCAATCTGAGGCCAACCTTTGAATCATTTTATGCCTCTGTTTTTTTAAACTGAGACTATTACCAACTCCCATGCACTTTGACTCAGAAGTAGATAGAGAAGATTAAAAAATAATTTCTGCAAAGCACTTTGTATTCCTTGGAGAATGGGTATTACCAACATACATTATGTTATTATCTTGTTGAATATGCATGATTTCCAGTATCACACAAAGTATATCTAGACATACTTTCCCATCTCGTACCATCATTTGGAGTCAAGCTGAGTGAAATCTAGGCTGTTGTTATTTCAAGGGTCAAATACTAAGAGGCAAAACATAGGCTCCAAATAATATACAATGCTTTTAAAATGATAAATCATTGATGTGCTTACTGGAACTTCAACTTTCTTACCTGTTTTGTGAACTACTCACACATATTTTCTCAACAAAAGACAATACTAGTTATACAGTTAAAGCTTAAGAATTATAAATATTAAAATATTTTCAATAAATTGATGCTAAAGTTTACAATAAGTTGTGTACTTTTAAAATCTCCAAAAGGAAAAAGTAAACTTTTACATATAGAATATGTAAAAATTATTTGACACTTAAAAATTGTATTATCATACATAAGTAATCATAACTAGCTTTATATTCAGTGAAATTTCACATGTACCTATATTTTGACACAAAGGGGACTAGTGAAATAAAAGACTTCCTAATGACATATTTTTTCCTTTTAATTGGCAAAATAATAGTAGCAGTGATTCAATGGTTCTCCAAGTGTTCCTATCCTATGAAGTACTCCAAATATTTTTACTCATATACCAGTCTTTAAATAGGCCAGCTTTGAATTTAAAAGCTTAATTAAGGCAGCCTGGACCTAGAAGGTAAGGCAGAAAGAGGAAGAAATTAAAGGAAGAAAAAAAATAAAAGGGTTATAGGGAACTTGAAAAATCTCAGGGAAAATGTGATCTGACTTTGTGGGTTGATGAAAAGGAAAGCAAACATCACAAGGAGACCCTTCAGCTGACAAGCAGGCAATTCTGTGAAGATTAAGTTCAGATGGAAAACCCAAGTACACGCAATTTAAATGAAATTCTAAGATATAACTGTGTATTATAAGAGATTATAATTTATCAATATTAATAACATTATAACACACTGAATAAAATGAGAATCCATGAGTCCACATTAATATATGAAATAAATACATAAGCTATGAACACTGAAATATTTAGGGGTAAACAGGCATCATTTCTGCAACTTATTTTCAAGTAGTTCAGGGGAAAAAATTGTGAAAAAGCAAATGCGGCACAATGTTAACATCCGGGGAACCTAGTAAGGGTGTATGGGCATCCTGTGTACTATTGGAACGCTTCTGAAATCTGAAATGGTATCAAAATAAAAAGTAAAAAAGTGTATTAATAATAAGCTACCATTTACAGATTACCTAGTATTGGCCAGGCACTGTACCAGCCACTTTACTCATATTATCTTTAATCTTCACAGCAGTCTTTTAGGGTAGGTATTACCATCAATCCCATGTAAACACATACGAAAATGAACACCCCAAGTAATTTACTCAAGAATAGAGATCAAATAACTGCAGAGCAAGATTTCAAACCAAATCACTCCAAAGCTTGCACTCTTTCTACAAGATGGTAAATATAGTAGTGGTTTAGATAAAGCTCTGGTTCTGGAGTTAGGGAGACTCAGATTTGAGGACTTGAATATTCAATACTATTTATTAGTCATGTGGCCAGATGTATATTACTTTTCTTCATTTCTTTTTTGTTTTGGAGATAAATGTCTAATGATCAGTGTCTATCTCACAGGTTACTGAGGAGATTAAATAAAATAAGGCATGTAAAGCACTTCAGCACAATCCCGAGGCCTATGGTAAGAACACCAGTGTTTGCTGTTGTTTCCATGAACCTCCATCCACCTTTCCTGGAAAACGATGCTTCAGGCATTGCTGGATTCCAAAGTGTAGAGACCATACCTAGCTAACTTGCTTTCTTATTGTTATAAAAGAGGTATTTAAAAATTCACCAAATCTAGAGAATTAAGCAGTTCAAACCAAAAAAATAAATGTCCCTACGTGAAACAACAAACTACTTCAATGTTATTACAGATAATACTAAATATTACCACAGTAGAGTTTCTGCAGCTATTGAAACCAAGTCTACATAAATGGTATAAATAAGACATTAACCAAATCACATGTTTAAGATTGTTTACCATTAAAAAATGAGAATAGAAAGAGGCAGAAAAAGCTGAGTATAAATTAATCAGAAAAATCAACGTAGGTAAAATAGTCTAATTGTAGTATTTCTGGAAACAAATATTTTGGGCTTCAAATGTCTCTTAAAAGGGAAAGATACAGTAAAAATCCATTATAATGTTATTAAAGTCTCATCTTTGAGGAGGATGAATTAACTTGAACTCTAATTTTAGGGTTATCTTGATTTGTTCATTTATGTGCAAACAAAAAAACCACAACAAAGTAAAACAAAAAATTATTCCTACCTTATTGTCTCTTCTATCAGACGATCTGAGCTGCAATAAAAAAAAATTCAAATTCTGGAATTATTAAAAGTAAATTAAAACTTGTACTTAATTTTTCTACATTTTCTAGGTAGATTAATTTTCCAGCCACTTATTAAACAGAATACCCAGACTTCTGAAAGCATCTGAATATTCTGTACTCTGAAATAAATTATCCACATATATAATTTTCATCTTTTATTTGTTGGCCTAAACCTATTTATTTCACAGAGAAGCTTAAAATCAGAACAGTTTTAATGTCAGCATAAATAAATGAAACTTCTTTAATCCAGATAGCTCAAAAGCTGTCACTATTGTCTATTCTAAGTTTAAGAATTACAATCAACTCATTGAGACAGGATAGGCAAATATAGTTTTGATGCCTAGAAGAAGTAATTATTTACACTTTAAAGTTCCTTCCTTTTTTGGAAACTAAACCAAATCACAGCTTATCACTCTTCAGAATCTGAATAAAGAAACCAAGTGCTCCCTCAACCTGTAAAATGTTTGCCTTTATGCATTTACACACTGGAAAAAAAAGAAACTCCTCCAGAAAACCATTTTAGGGAGGAATTTATAGGTAGCTCACTTTGGTAAAGAGGTACCTTTACAACAGAAAGTAGGGAAAAACACCCTATGTGGACCCACTTGGCACAGTGCATGGTGTACAGCAGGCACTCAAATAAATACCTGGGTATTTTTCCAAACACTTCTTTCCGAAAGAATTTCTACACAAAATTAAAAAAACAAACAAACTCATACATATGGACAAAAGATTGGTGGTTACCAGAGGAGAAGGGGGTGGGGTGAAATGGCTAAAGGGGGTCAAATATATGGAGATGGGTGGAAAGCAGGCTTTTGATGGTGAGCACTCTCTAGTATATACAGATATCAAATTACAATGTAACCCCAGAAGTTACATAGCTGTCACTTCAAAAATAAACAAACAAGCAAGCAAATAAATTCTACATTCATTCTATAAACTAATATGTTGAAGTTTCATGATAAAATAGTGGACCAGGAAATCTAATTTACTGCATGAATTGGGGAACAAAGATGAGCTTCAAAAATATCATAAATATCTTACATGCATCCTATGATTAAGAATTTAAAAAATGTCAAAGGTGACGGAATGATTAAGAGCCAGGTTGTATGTGGCTTTGGGAATGCCGCTCCACCACATATTCGCTACCTGACGTCAGGCAAGTTACTCTGCGCCTCTGTTTTCTCATCTGTAACACAGCAATGATAATAAGCCCTACCTGTTAAAAGGAATATATAGATACACTTCCAGCTAGTGTGATACCCACTTTAAAAGGAATATATAGATACACTTCCAGCTAGTGTGATACCCACTTAAAGAACTGGGCAAAATCACTTAGATAACACTTAAGTGGAATTTTCTTTGAAAATTTAAGAGTAGGTGATTAAGTAAATAACAAGTAAATGTGTGAGCAAGTAAATGAGAAAACAAGCAAGCAAATTCATAATACAAATTTTCAATTGATCCCCTTGTAAAATACAATTGATGGAAGTTATCATCAACTAATCACATCATTTACATCAAGCATTATGGTGATCCAGTCTTTCACTTAAAATTCACCAGAGAGACCCTTAAGGTCTGTTAATACAATTAAGCTGCAGTAGGATACAAAAAAACCTGTTTTAGTGCTAATAAACTTTTATTTTACAGATATCAATTGGAAAATACAGAAAAACAAAAATAAAAATAGAAATCTAGCACCATTTGATGAAAAGACTCTCTTTTTTCCTATTAATTGTCTTTGCTTCTCTGTCAAAGGTCAGCTGACCGTGCGGGCCCACTGCTGGACGCTCCCTTCTGTCCGTGTGTCTACGTGTGTGTTCTTTCAACAACGCCACACTGTCTTGATTACATAGAATATATATGCAACAGGAAATGAAGTTTAAATGGGGAAGAAATTTTTGTTTCTTTTTTTTCCCTCTGCAAAGAATTTTAACCAAACATTTTGGTGCAAAAATAATTTTTTTTAATGTCCACTAATTTGTTCAACTATAGCAGATGCAGAAAACTTAAGAATGTGCAGAATCGCATTGCCATTGTTGTTCTTTAGGTAAATAGTATAAAGAGTATTAAATATCCTTAAAAACTATATGAATCATAAAAAGTCTATGAAATATTAAGTATTTTCTAATTTGTTCCTGAAACTTCTAAAAAATAACTTGTATATCAACATAAACTAATTTGCTTAATAAATAAAAATGGAATTGTATTTTTCATTGTACATGTTTCACAATTCTATTTTTAAAATACTTTATTTATTTATTTTTAGAGAGGGGAAGGGAGGGAGAAAGAGAGGGAAACATCGACGTGTGGTTGCATTTCGTGCACCCCCTACTGGGGACCTGGCCCACAACCCAGGCATGTGCCCTACACTGGGAATCAAACCGGCAACCCTCTGGTTCACAGGCCAGTGCTCAATCCACTGAGCCATACCAGCCAGGGCTCTTTCACAATTCTTTAACGAATATAATCATAGAAATTCACAAGTATTATCAATCATGACATTCATGAAACTATAAAGAATAAAATGACTAGTTACTCTTTCTTATACCCTAGAACCTGGGTTTTAATCAAGGCTCAAGCACTTTCCCGTGTGAACATGCTTCATGGAGTTGTCGTAAGGCTCAAAAGAGATAATGTAAACAAAAGTATCTTGTAAACTGTATAAGCCTACAGATATATGGTTGACATAGCTTAAAGCACTTTAATGTCTCATAGTTTCTCTCTTACTCTGCAATTCCCTTTCCTGATTCTCAACATAAATTGCTTATATTTTAAAGTCCAGCTCAAAAGTCACATCCTTTATGAAACCTTCCCTATTCCATCTAGACATCCAGGCTGAAGTAATTCCTCTTTATAATACTATGTTTTCATGGTTCTTTGCTCTTCATCAATTCTTTTTTTCATTTTAAAAAGTTTTATTTATTTATTTTGAGAGAGAGGGGAAGGGAGGAGAAAGAGAGGGAAACATCAATCAATGTGTGGTTGCCTCTTGCGCGCCCCCAAATGGGGACCTGGCCTGCAACCCAGGCATGTGCCCTGACTGGTAATTGAACCGGCGACCCTTTGGTTCACAAGCCAGCACTCAATCCACTGAGCCACACCAGCCAGGGCTCTTCATCAGCTCTTTTAAGAATATTACAAGCATTTAAGATATGTCAGACACTGTAATATGAGCTGGAGGAAAAATACCTTAGCTTTGTAAAACACATTTTTCCACACACACTATCTTGTTTGATGCTTTTTAAAATATAATATTTCACAGGACAGCATAATTATATGTTTATTATTTCTCTAACCAGAATGAATTCCCATGGGGTACAGACTGAGTCTGATTCATCTTTGATTATTCCTAGAGTCTAGTACAACACCTAGCACACAGGAGAAACTCATCAAATACTTAATAAATGAACAAATAAATGAGACACTTGTTGAAGTGATAAAATAGCAATCGGAGTTAACACTGAAATAATCCTTGTAAATTTCCATGGGGGGTGAGAAGGATATATATAGTAGTTCCTCCTTATCCATGATTTTGCTTTCTGTGGTTTCATACCCATGGTCAACCATGGTCCAAAAATACTAAATGGAAAATTCCAGAAATAATTCATAAGTTTTCAATTGCACACTGTCTGAGCAGCATGATGAAATCTTGCATCGTTCTGCTCTGTCCCACCTGGGATGTGAGTTAGCCCTTTGTCCAGTGTATCACGCTGTAAATGCTAGTCTCTTAGCAGCCATTTTTGGTTATCAGACCCACCAGCACAGTCCTGCAGTGCTAGTGTTCAAGTCACCCTTATTTTACTTCCTGAAGGCCCCAAAGTGCAAGCAAGAGCAGTAAAGCTGGCAATTCAGATATGCCAAAGAGAAGCCGTAAAGTGCTTTCTTTAAGTGAAAATGTGAAAGTTCTCAACTTAATAAAGAAAAATAATTGTATGCTGAAGTTGCTAAGATCTATGGTAAGAATGAATCTTCTGTTTGTGAAATTGTGAAGAAGGGAGAAAGGAATTCATCCTGGTTTTGCTGTTACATTTCAAACCGAGTAAGTTACAGCCACAGTGCATAAGTGTTACGGTGAAAAGGCATTAAATTTGTGGGTGGACGACATGAACAGAAAAGTTGTTTCAAATGATGACAATGTGTTGCACCAGAAAGCACTGAGCCTATACAAAGACTTCAGAGAGCCATCCCTGAAACAAGTGACCATATATAACTGTTATTAAACTGTTATAATTGTTCTATTTATTAGTAGTTGTTGTTAATCTCTTAATGTGCCTAATATATAAATTAAACTTTGTATTAGGTATGTATAGGAAAAAACATAGTATATATAGGGTTCGGTACTATCCACGGGGATCTTGGAACATATCCCTCGTGGGTAATACATCTGGGGAGAGGAAATTCCTCAGTATAGCAGAGCACTTGCAACTGAAGTTTTACTGCTTAAGAAAGCCACAGACCCAATAAAGATGAATTTGATTTCACTACAGCTCCAAGTGAAGGAAAATGAGTTCTGTATAAGAGCTCCTAACTATGCCATTCCTACTTTGTAAAACTGGACATTATCCAGTGAATATAAACATAAGCAAAGTATATTCAGAATAATATTAATTTGCTATTTCGATATGGCAGACAATTGTACCACCTGAGACACATGGAGCTTTGATATGTAATTTTAAAATAATCTATGAATGGAATGATAGATATGTAGTGAACTAATCATACATTACCAGTACTCAATAGGCTAAAAATTTAATTATTACACAAATGACTCCTGATATATGGAAGGGATCTATCTCAAATTCTTTGCATATTTTACGTCTACTACCATGATTACACCTAGTTTCCTCCATTAAGCTTCCATTTTCCTACCTAAAAGCACTGTTTTCTTAGGATCACCTTACTCACTGTCATTACCTTTAGAAATTGTGTTTTTTCCTTGGAGTGTTTCACGAAGAAACAAAGTATATGTATGCATGTGTATAAACCAGTTTATGGTAATTGCCATGTAAATAACAGGCAGCAAAAATGAAGTTAGAAGCGAGGCTGAAGTATAAATGCTGCTGTCCAGATAGGTTAGATGTACTCACTAGCCAACTGACTTCCCCAGTGTTTACAATGCAAACATTTGAGCCTGTATCTCAATAAATCTATACCATAGGGTCCACAAATAGTTAAGAAAGCTCAAGTCAATTCCTGAATGCTGAGAGTCTGCTATGTTATCCCACTCACAGATGTTTTAATGTGACCAGTGTTTAATTGGATCATATGATATTTAAATAATATACAGTGTGGGGCAAAAGTGGGTTCACAGTTGTTTACATGGAAAATAATACAATAATAAATAATAATGCAAGAATAAACTGTGTTTCACTTACTACTTGATACTTACTTTTTGCCTCACACTGTACATACAACTATACCAAAAACTTTTGTGATAAAAATCACTCCTTTGAGCCCTGGCTAGTGTGGCTTAGTAAATTGAGCATCAGACTGTAGCCCAATGCGTTGCTGATTTGATTCCCACTCAGGGCATATGTCTGGGTTGCAGGCCAGGTTTCCCCAGCTGGGGGGCACCTAGAGGCAACCACACATTGATGTTTCTCTCCCTCTCTTTCTTCCTCCCTTTCTCTGGAAATAAATAAAACCTTTATTTATTTAAAAAAAAATCACTCCTTCGAAAGGTCACTAAATTATGGTGATCATGTGTCTCATATTTTTACAATATGGTCATGGTCTGTTAGTACAATTAGAATTTCATTTCATGAAGATTATTCTGACATCAAAAGTATTTCAAAATCTAAGAAATGTAAACTGGCAGTGTATATACAGCAAAAGATTTTCTCCTTTAGCATTTGTTTTTCTTACTCTTATAACCCTTATTATGTTCTGCTTTATATAGAAGTGCCTCACAGTTCACAAAGGCTTTTACATGCATTAACTTAGCAACTTTGTGAAGTGGATACCACAGAATCATCTTTGAGAGGCAGTGCAGTATTGCAGAAGCAACACACTCAGGGGATCTGAGTTTGAATTTATCAGCCATGTGACCTCAGGGAAATTCAGCTAAAAATCACAAAACAAAAAGTGAAACCATTTTTTAAGAAATCTTCACCCAAGGATATGTTCATTGATTTGAGAGGGAGAGACTGATGTGAGAGAGAAACACTGATCAGCTGCCTCCTGTACCTTCCCTGACTGGGGACTGAATTCACAACCTGGGCATGTGCCATGACCAAGGTCGAACTTGCAACATTTTGGTGTATGGGGTGACATGCCAGTCAACTGAGTCGTCTGGCCAGGGCTAAGTCCTTGGTTTTAGTCTCAACAATTTCTCAAATTCATATTCCATCCAACTTCATCCTGCCTCAGTTTCTCTCTGTATAAAATGAGCACATACAATCTCTTCCACAAGAATGTTGAAAGGAATGTGAGTAAAGTATATCATATATAAAATTGAGAAACAAAAATAGAAAGTATCTTTTTGATTCTTAATCCTGTCATTTCTGTAACCCTAAATAAACTATTTAAGCTATGTGTCCCTGAATTGTATTTTTTTCCCTATAAAGTGGACAATATTAAACCCCTAAAAGGTTTTCTTTGAATTATTAAAATAAATGCAAAATTACATATTTTCATATAAAATGTATAATAAAGAAATAAAGGATATTAATTCCTATAATTACTCTGGCATATCTTTTCGGTAACAAATCATTCTTAAAGTAATTAAATTACTACATTTATTTAATTTCTTTTCAAGGCAATAAATATAAGAACACTGATGCAGTCTAATCCTTACTTTGTGCTACTTGAGAATCTTATCCCTTAAGTTACTCTGTATCCCAACAATATATTAATACGCTTTTAAATGTAATGCAAAAATTCTCTTTATCAAACGCAAAATGAACCAAAGCTATGAGTAACTATAAAATAAACACACGCTAGGAAAGGCTGCCCCCTTGTGACAGTCAGTAACACCCAACAGATGAAGAAGGAACACTAACAACTATTTGACACTAGAAGCATCCAGACTTCCAAAGAGGTCTTGATCTTTCCATGTTCTGATTTCAACAGTGTATACTTAAAGTGGTAATCTTTAAAGAAAAATAAATTGAACAGCACATTAAGCTCATAAGAACATGATTAACTTATGACATCTGGCAACAAATATCAACATAATTCATAACATTTAACAATCATGGATACTAGCTGCTCAAGTGCTTAGAGACTGAACTCACAGAGGTACGTAATTTTCTGACCCTTCACTTCTATGACAAAATACAGAGAAAATAATTAAATAAATCAGCACATATGAGAGAAAAAAAATAGATGAAGCAGGGACAGAGTATGGTGACTTGCATGAAAAGTATGATATATTTGAGATATATACAGTTTAAGTTTTTAAGACATTTTCTTTTGAATTCTTAGAAAATAAGATATTTTTTTTGGATTTGATGGATGGCTAATTACCCTTTATAACGCTTCTTGACATATGTAAGTGGTATCTAGCAATTCAAACATAAGTCATCAGTATTATTACCATTATTATTACTAATAACCTACAGAAGTAAACAAAAGTATTACAGCAACAAACTTACTAAAGGAAAAAATACAGGCAATAAAAGACATATTTCAGGTAAGAATTAAGTGATGTGAATATAGATTTTTTTATATCGACAGCATATCTTTCCTAATTAGAGTTGGAACAGTTGCAATTCCATTTCTACTGAGCAGGGTCAATTAGAAGAATTAAAAAATTAGCACTGATGAAGAACTTACTATAATAAACACCATAAAAGTTTCTTATATAATTAAGTGAATTAATAAGTACAGGAAACTACACAGTATGCATATATTCAGTAATACCTACTTTCGAAGGTGTTCATGTTCTTTCAAAAATAGTTCAGTTCTTCTGTTGTTTACTCCAGACCCACTTTTATATGACCTAGAAGAACACAGAGAAAATTTAAGAACATTTTTGGCAGATACTGCTAAAAAATGATTAAGTGACTTTAATAATATCCAAAGTGGACAAACTGAGCTGCTTCGTAGTTTTAAATGAGCAATTAAAATGCATGTTCCTTTTCATCTCCTTCTAAAGTGAAATCTATTATAAATAAATATGAATGCCTCTCTCTAATTGAGGCCTAAGAGTTTATTATGTTTACACCAAAATAACCCAATATTCTTAAATTTAAAAAAATCTTACTTTTCCTTTCTTTGTCTATTATCTCCTATATCGTTATTTTCTCCAAGCAGAAATAAAACTTTGGACTGATTATTACATGGCACATGGGATGGAAAAGCTATTGAAATGGAATGGTTCCTTCACAATGGCACATGCAGTCCATCAACTGAAGCCCAAGGACACTAAAAATGAAGCTAAAGATCTGCCGATTTTGGCATAACTAAGGATTTCTACCTTGGCCTCAAGCACATTAAAAATTTACAAAAAAAACACACTTGCACCATTACTATCAACACTTCCTTCTTTCTTTCTTTTCTTTCCTTTCCTTTCCTTTTTCCCTCCCTCGCTCCCTTCCTTCCAATTTTAGAGAGGAAGTAAAGGAGAGAGGCAGAGAGATGGGGAGAGAAGATTTTGAATTTATTAGCCTCAGGGAATTCATGTGACCTCAGGGAAATTCAGCTAAAAAATCACAAAACAAAAAGTGAAACCATTTTTAAAAAATGGGGGGTGGGGAGAGAGAGAAATGTTGATTTATTGGTCCACTTAGTGATGCATTCATTAGTTGATTCATGTACATATCTTGACCAGAGATCAAACTGCAAGCTTGGCATAGAGGGACCAACGCTCTAACCAACTGAGCTATCCGGCCAGGACAACACTTCCATGTTTTTGTTCTTACAATAAAGTATCAAGAACAAAACTAAAAATTCAAGTAACTAACCGCACATATACTGCAGTAAGACAAAAGAGGGTCGCCGCTAAAACTCAAATACTGGCTGAGAGGCAGTGCTAATGTGCAAAGCACAACGGGAAAGAAACCAGGAAAAGCAGAATGCTCTAACTAAGAGCACACTGGACTTGGAATACAGATGGACTGGATTTAAATCTATATTCTGTCACTTATTAGTCAGGTAACAACATTGGATAAATCTCTTTACATCTAGTTTTATAAAATAGAATAATTTCTATAAATACCAAAAGATTACATGAAACCAAAAAAATGGTAATTGTAAAAACTTAAAAATGTCACTTATTACCATATCTCATCTAATTCTGCTTCACATTATATTAATTTGAGTATGTGCCTTACTACGCTCTAACACCTAGATTATAAACTCCTAGAGCACCAAGTTGGTCTTTTCATTTCTACCTTTTACTATGACTGACACAGTGTCTTACTCATGGTGGGCAATCAAAAAATAGTTTAATGGATAGGTGAACATGTTTCATTTATGATCATCTTTCATGGGCCATCTTCTAGTCATTTCCACAAACTATGGGAAAGCTAAATGCCTACATATTAAAGGCTGTCCCCGACACTGGTCCTCAATGCATTCCTTCAGAAATTATGTAAACAGACTGTACAGAGATTAAACAAAAGATTTACATGTTTCCGAGAACTAAAAGTAGTATAAAATTCCTAATTATCGCAAAAATGCTTAGTTTTTTTACTCCCATATGTTACACAAAATGCATATGACTAAACATAAAAAATATAGATAAAAACAGAGACAAACAGTAAAAATTATTTTTCCAAGATAATTTCTAGAGGTAGAAACATCACTTTGATGGCCGGATAATCCTGGGTTAGAGTTTTGAACAAAAGTTTTGAATGCAAAGACTATTCAGTTATTTCTGCTGCAAAACTGTCTTACTGTTATAAAAAACAAAGTATCTCAAGGGAAATGTTTCTTAACATGTACATGATTTACATCAGTTTTGATATGGTAAGGTGTATTACAGTTATGAAACATACTTACTTATGAGTATCAGAAACTTATCACAAGTGAGACAATGATAGGCATCAATAAGAGATCCAAAAGTGGGAAGTTTTCAGCTTTAATAAGATGCCCAATGGATTCAGCCTTGTCAGCTGTGTTCAGTTGTGGAAAAAAATGTCAAAAATGTGTATGAAATATTAGAATGTATTACTAAAGGTGAAGTAAAGGAATGCAAGAAAAGAACATATCTTTAAAATTATGGTTTGAGATTAACATAAAAACATTGAGTCCAAAAGTAATTTTACATACGGCTGTAAGTCTGTATAAAATCTGGAAGAAACAGATATTTTAGATTCCAGGAAAGTAAAAGCTACTTTGATAGTTAACTGACTATATATAATAGTAGGCACAAGGGAGAGAGAAGAGGGGTAGCTGGTGATCAGGAAGAAAAATACCAAAGCTTTAGTTACTGGCAAAGTTATAATTCTTATGGTGTGTGTAAGGAGATCAGAGAAAAGCTCATAAAGGTATCGCCTAAGTTGGACTTTGAATTGAGATGGGAAAGGCAAGGTTGGCAGGAGTCATGATAAAAGTGGAGGAAGCGGAGTTAAGATGGGCAAAGTAGACAGGACCACATCCTATCAGCAATGTTTAAAGAATAGTGAAATGGGAATTAGAAACTTCAAAATCTAAACTATGATTCTGCTACTCAATTTTGCTGTTAATCATGGATATACTCTAAATACAAATCTGAATATACATCTTACAAAATAATACAAAAGGTAACTTACTCGATGTCCTTTCGTACTGATCCCATGAGATTCTCCCTTTCCCGTATTGCTGTGAAGTTTGCTTTGGTTTTATGAAATTCATGTGTATAATCCTGCAATAAATCAATATCCAGCCTCAATGTAAGCTAATTATATATTTTCATCTTATTGAGCCAGTTATGTGTTGTCATATTATCATCAGATTATAAACTTCTGTCAAGAAAACTGCTATTTAAGAAGTCAAACAGCCAATAGGTGAAAATAACAATCACTTTCCTGAAGAGTGACTGACTTCCTTGAAATGAAAACAATTCAGTGGTAGGGTAACAGTGCCACTAAATCACTATCCTTCATTTCTTCTAGTACCTCGTCGTAATGGGTCAGAGTTGTAAAGTAAAAAATAATTCTAAGATACAATGACTTCAAATAGCCTAGGATAAAACTTAAGGGGCTCTTTCTAGTCATTCGTGTGCCCAATGGGTTTATTTTCAAATTTCATCCTTTTGGAACTGCCACAGAAATTTAATTATTAACCAATCAAAGGAAGAACAGAACCAAGAGAATTGTAAAGAACAAAATAAACTTTAAATATTTCCCTTTCCTTTTCTACTACCATATTTTAAAGCTATTAAGGAGTGTTCATTACTTTTTAAAAATCAAAGGGTATAAAAAGATGAAACTCATAATCCCATCTCCCAGAAAGTCCCTACTGACCCTTTAAAAAACAAAAATAATACATGAACATAGGGAAAATACTAAAAGAACACCAAAAGGAATAAAAGTAAAAACTATCCTGCTCCACAGTTTATAACACTATCATCGTTTTAATCTTCTTTCAGGAAATATGTTTTTGCATATACAAGCTCATTTTTGCTAAAGAAAACGTACTATATTCTGCTGTACGTTTTGTTTTGTTTTGTTTTGTTTTTGTAGTTCATAAAATATCAAGTAATCTTTCCATATTGGCAAATAGAAATCTACATTATTTTTAATACCTATACAGAATTCTACCTTATGACTCTATCACAATTTGATAAATTGCTTACTGATGAACATTTTAGTTGCTTTATTTGCTGTTAAAAAAAGCCACAATAAACATTCTTATATATATGTTTTACTGAACTATCATTTTTTAAAAGGATTTTATTTATTTTTAGAGAGAGGGGAAGGAAGGGAGAAAGAAAGGAAGAGAAACATCAATGTGTGGTGGCCTCTCACACACCTCCAGCTGGGGACCTGGCCCAAAACCCAGGCCTGACTCAGAATCAAACCGGCAACCCTATGGTTCGCAGGCCGGTGCTCAGTCCACTGAGCCACACCAGCCAGGGCTGAACTCTCTCTCTCTTATTAAACTGTATTTAAAGAGTAAATGCTTAGCAGAATAATTGGATCAAAGAATCTTATATTGTAACAAAGAATCTTACATAAATCAGATTGTACCAATTTGTGTTCCCAGCAAAATAGATGAAATGTCTATCTTTCTACACTCTTGCCAATAATAGGTTACAAATGTTTCATTATTTGCTAATCTGATAGGTGAAAAATCACGTTTCATTTTGATTTGTATATTTTTATTTGGGAATGCAGCTGAACATCTTTTTATGGTTTTGTACCATTTTCTGTACACAACAAGTTGATATTCCTTGCCCATTTTCATATTAGGTTATCTTTTTCTTATGTCTCTGTATATTAAGCAAATTAGTTTTTTGTTATAGTTTCTGGTATTAGGTCTTGCTTAGAAAGTCCTTTGCTACCCAAAATGCTTTAATTTGAACTTTCATGGATTCTTTTTCAACATATAAATCTTTGACCCATTTTGAATTTATCCTGGATGAAAGAAATGAGACAGAATGTGAGGTTTGGCTCCCCTCCACCCAACGTTAGTCAACTGTTACAGCTCTATTTATTTTATAATCTCTCTCTTTCCCACTGTTTTAAAATACTACGTTTATAGTAAAATTAAATTTCCATGCATATTTGGGTCTATAAGTGAACTCTATTCTGTTCCATTGGTCTCTATTTCTCTCGAGTAAAACTCTTAATTATTCTACCTTCTTCACAGGTTTTAATATCTGGTAGAACTAAGCATACTTTACTACTTATCTTCATTTTTACATGTTTTTCTTGGTTATTCTTGTATGTCTATGATTCCAAATAAACTCTGATGTCATTTTTCCAATTAAAAAAAATGAAATAAATAAATTAAAAAACCTGTTATTTTCATTAGGAAAGCATTCAATTTACAGGTTTATTTAGAGAGAAATCTTCCCTTCTAAAGGCAGAGTAAATCTTTTACATCCCTAAGCAGAGTTTTATACATAAAAATCCTATACATTCTAATTAAATTCATACATAAGGATTTTATAGTTTCTTCCACTGTATTTTCTAAAAGGTTATTGTTTGTATGAGAAAATCCACCTGCTTTTATATATTTTGTGATGTACCATCTCATTGAACTTGTTTAATTTTTTTTTTAGTTAGTTTTCTTGGTTGTGTTAGCTATATAACCTTATCACTGCCACATAGTACAAATTTTGTCTCTTCCTTTAGCTTGTTTCTTTTTACTATCTAATTGTACCACAAAGAACTTCCAAAACAATGTTAAACACCGTGGTGATACTGGATATTCTTTTTTTTTCCTTCTTTAATGGGAGTGCTTTTAGTGCTCTATCATTAAGTATGGTGCTAGCTTTTAATCTGATATACATTTATTTGCATTAGGCAACTGAGGTATCTTTTTATTCCTATTTATTTATTTATTAGAGAGGAAGGGAGTGGGAAAGAAAGGGAGAAACGCTGATGTGAGAGAGAGACAACAATCAGCTGCCTCTCGTATGTGCCCGACCAGGGCCTGAACCTGAAACCCAGGTATGTGCCCTGACCAGGAATCAAACTGGCAACCTTCTGCTTTGCGGAACAACGGCCAACCAACTGAGCCACACTGGTCAGGGCCTTATAGTCCTGTTTTTAACAAGACTTTTTAAAATTAGAAATGGTTGCTGAATTTTTTCAATATTAAAAAGATTTGCCTTCCTATTTGTATACTGTATAGTAACACCCCATATACAAATTTGTAAGAGTTTAGTTCACTTTGTTGCTACACTTTTAATATTTTCTCAAACAACATACTAAATCTAGTAAATTACTCCTTTTTCATGTTATTTTGAGGCCTAATGAAAGTATACTCTAAACCACCGTATTATTGTTTATGCATGACCACTGGTGTTTCACTGTTACAGTTAGTTAGCATGGTTTCCCACCGAGTATTTACCTACTGATGAATATTACTCAATTTTAGCAGGCAAAAAGCAAGAACAATTAGATATTAAATATTTTCAGACTCTTATAATATCAAGAAAAAAACTGAAACAAGACAAACTTCTATATTATGGTATTTACCCTCTCAGAAGATTTTTTCCCCTTTGTTATCTTAAATACATAGGCACATTCTATTCGGGGATTTAAAAACCCAACAACAACATAAAAATCTCAAGCCCAGTGTGTTACCTGCAATATGTCTCTATGTCGCTGCAGTGTGTGCATCAGAGCCGCATTCAAGGAGGGGACACCTGCACTGTTGGTATATTCTGCCATTTTATCATTTACTCCTGTGAGCTAAAAAAAAAGAAGGTAAAAAATACATAAAAAATATTTTAGAAAGCACTGTAAAGAGATAAAAGTAAATTATCTGCCTGTTTGTTCTTTGGCTAACAGCAAAAAACAAACCCAAAACAAGAAGACAGGCAAGGATTCAGTACTTCCATCGAATAAGGTATAGAAGCTAAAATAACTCTTAGAGGACCTGGGAATGGCTGTCATTAAAACTCCAGGGGCCTGGGAAGCACACATCGTGAATGAAGGGGTGACTTCTATAAACACGTCTGCGTTAATATAATCTAGTACCATATCTAACAAGTACACAGTTATTAGCAAAACAGCCATTGAACGGAAGTGCTCACCCTTGCCAGAAGCTGTTCAATCTCGATTGCCATTGTCTCAAACATTCTGTCTTGGCTTGATCCGTTTAAAAGGGGTGTTGTGTCAGAACTAAAGAGAAGTTCAAATAAAGAGAATCCATTACTTAAACCTAATCCTTTAAAATATACTTAAAATAATAAGGTAATTTTTCTTAACGAGGTCAAGCAGAATCCCTGAGACACTCTCTCTGTTTATTAAGAAGCTATAATTTTTATAGAATCTTTCCTAGAAAGATCGCACATGTCCCAGATATTAAATTCATTATATAAAATATAAATGAATGTAAGATTTTCGCAGGGTTTAATACAGTCAATCGTAATAATGTAAAGAAATTCCAAAAGTTTGTTTATTGTTTCCCAAATGAAAGTAACTTAAGCTTTGGCAGTTATCTAAATGCTTTATCTAAAAGAACAAATTATCTGAAATAAAACTGTAGAACTATGTAGTACAGCACATATGAGGAGCCATAAAATGTATTATAAATTATGCTATGGGATCTGTCAGAAATCATCTTTTAGTTTTTACCCCAAAGCAACTATGGTTGCCTAGGTCTTATATTAAGTTCTCTCTTCTTTCCTTGACTCTTACCAAGAAGAAATAAAATTGAGATTTATATGATTGGGTAACTAGTTATTAAATAATAAGGAACTGGCTTTAAGTCAAATGTAGATAGCCATGTCCAACAAGTAAGTTTTAGTAGCAACCCTCTACATTTCCACTTACATAATGTAAGTGGAAACTGTTTCAGTTTTGTTTTGCAAAAATGTGTTGAAATGTCTTTTAAAATCTGAATGGTCAGTAAAAAAGCCTTTTTACAAGTGAAATTTATGTTTGGCAGATTTAATTATAAAACCATGACCTGAAAGTTTCTTTTGCCTCTTCTGAAAAACTGCTATGCTTCAGTAGGTCCCCAAGTGGTATGTATTATCACATGCATAGTTCAATACAAATCTTAGTTATAATGAACATAGATAATAAATACCCAGGCAATAACTGTGCACTGCAGTCTTACTGAAGACTTTGTCCTGCCCTGTGACAGTGATTATGTGTATGCATGGCAAATGAAAACAGATTAAGGCATCAGTTCAACATCAAAAAAGTACCTTAGCTAATATTTTCCTTCTCCATATACCTTCCACAGCAATAGTAACAAGTAGTAAAGAGCCACGAAGTAGCTAATGAGGATTTTTATTTTAAGATGTTTAATTAGGTCCACATTTTTATTTCTTGAAACACTTCAATTTATTTGCCTTAAAATATATAAAAATATCTAGTTCTTTATTATGTGTCAGAGCCAACCCAAGGTTCTGCAGTTGTATCTTAGAGTGCGCCTAGGGAAAATTCTCTATATACTATTAATACAAATCCTCCCCTATAAGATATATGAAAAAGAACAACTGGCCAATGATTGAAAGTTTCATGAGGAGGGAAACTGTCTATGTCTTATTCATCTATATACCTAGCTCCTAAAATACTGCTTGGCACACGGTAGATGATCATTGAATATTTGCTGAATGAATGAGGAGGCAGTCTCCACATTCATCATTCTCAGGAGAGTTTGTCAGTCCAGGAAAATGGTCAAAAAGTCATTCTCCACAATACTAAAGTTCAGTTAAATTTAATTCATTTTATAGGTATGTGATGATTCACAGGCCATTAGGTTCTCAAAATACAGGAAATAAAAAAATTATCCCAAAAGAAAAATTCTGGTTATCACTGAGTTTATTCATTGTGACATGCTTTTAATCTGGGCAACAAAAAAAATACTTTAGAATGCAAACTGAACCTTGATCCTCATGGCCTTAGGTTTCTGACTGAAAGGGACAGTGAGGCTGAAGTAATTCCACATAGTCCCAGTTTTTTGCAGAATTTCTTAAGGAATGTTTTCAACATAGTTTTTCCTTTAAAGGAGTCACAAAAGCATTAAGTTCATGAAGCACAGAGAACACAGAAAAAATATCATGTAATTGTATCTCTTAACTATTGTACTTGGAGTTTTAAAATTGTATAATCATTGCCATAGACAGACTTAAATTCAGAAAATAAGCTTTCCAGTGATAAAGTTAACACATAGAAAAGAACATTCCTTATTCTCTTTTAAATATGTGCTAAATAAAGTTGATCCCAAAGCTATGCAGTGCAATTAAAGCTATGTAACATCAATAGCGTATGTTTATTTATTTATGTGAGAGGGGAAAGGAGAGAGAAAGAGAGGGAAAGAAACATTGATGTGAGAGAGATACATCAATAGGATGCCTCTCGTATGCCCCCAACTGGGGTCCTGGCCTGTAACCCAGGCATGTGCCCTGACTAGGAACCGAACTGGCGACCTTTTGGTTTGCAGGCTGGTGCTCAATTCATGGACCCACACTAGCCAGGGCCCAATATTTTTTTAAACAAGTGAATGGACTAAAGTGAGGAAAAGATTCAAACGTAAAAATAGATTTTCCAATAGAACTACCATGTGACTCAGCAATCCATCTTCTGGGCATTTATCTAAAGCATATGAAAACACTAATTTGAAAAGATATATGCATCCATATGTTCATTGCAGCATTATTTACAGTAGCCAAGATATGGAAATAATTTAAGTGTCCACTGACGAATGAATTTATAAAGAGATTTGGGTGTGTGTGTGTGTGTGCATGCGCGCATGCATGCATGCAATGGAATACTACTCAGCCATGAGAAAGATAGACTACTGCCATTTTGTGACAATAGGCTAAGTGAAATAAGTAAGACAGAAAAATACAAAAACTATATGCTTTCACTTATATGTGGAATAAAAAACAAAAACAAGAAACCAAACCAACAAACAAAAACAAACTCAAAGATACAGACAACAGGTGAGTGGTTACCAGAGGGGAAGGAGAGTAGAGGGAGAGCAAACATGGGTAAAGAGGGTCAAATGGATGGTGACGGATGGAAACCAGACTTTTCACAGTGAATACATCATAGTGCACAGATATCGAATTATAACACTGTACACCAGAAGCTTATATAATGTAATTAACCACTTTACTTCAATTTGAAAAAAAAGAACATTTTCTATATGTTCAATAGAGTAGTATACTGGTTCCTCATGAAAGAACCAAAATTCACAGTAGCTTGGATGATTAATATCGAGGATACACGCTGCATTAGATTCATTCTAAAATGCCGGAAGAGTAGTATATATACTTGGCATTTGGGTAGTTCCTCACATTCATGTAGCAACCAGAAGATATAAGAAATACAATGTGGAAAAATCAACCACATTTTCTTAAATTGACTGACCCAGACACATGCTCATTCTGAATCCTTAGCATTTGCCTCCTTACACTGTCACATTCTTGGCCTAAGGATTCCAAATAAACACATCTCAAGAATTATGAATTTTTTAAGTCACTAAAAACAAAACAATAACATAAAAATGAAATACCAAAAATTTACCAACAGAACAAATTACAGAGTTATATATTTTAGTGTATTTTTTAATGCTTTAAAAACACTATATAGTTTAAGGCATAAGAGAGAGAATCTGGTAGTACCTATACCTGTCGCGTCTTCCATCTCGGGCACTGCTGTGGCTGTAACTTGTACACAGTTTACTGAAGGAAACTAGTTTCAGGTCAAGTTCATTTTCCAGCTGTCGAGCCTGTTTCCTGAGATCTTTAACAAAATTATAAAAGCAAATAATGAGTCATAAAAAGTTCATTAGTAAATGTAAAACTCACAAAACTATTCTGAAGAAAACAAACTATGAAAATGATCATATAATGATCTAGGTTCAATAAAGAAAAGTGTTAAAAAGAAGAAACCAGAGGCACACCCAGCAAAGCAAACTGTCACTTACTTTAAACTTCAGGTGGGGCAAAGATGGGGGGATGCAAATTTTCAGCTTCATCCCAAAGACAGCTAGACAACAAATGATGTTCTAACATCCCTGAAATTATTTCTATAGCAATAAATAAATATTGTAATTCAGGGGAAAAGAAATCACAAATAACAAAGAAACTGACTATGGTTTATGACCAGCATTCTATCAATTACTATTCAACTTTATAAAAAGGAAAGCATCACTGTTTTTAACAGGGATTTATGTTCCAAAACTTTATGAGGCTTATGAAATTCTTAATAGTGGAATGACTTAGTGATTGAGCATAAAAACAAAATAATCATCGACAAAGATTTTTTTAAAATTGTCTTTCAACAAGCTTATTCAAATTTGGAGGCTGAAATTAACAATGACAATGTGCTACTAACAAGGTCAAATGTAAGTATGACAAAAATGACAGCGTAACTTTTAAAAGAACAGAAGCAAACCAGCAAGCAGAGAAACTGGTATAGTTTTGCATCTAAGCGGCTGAGTGAGAGAAACTGCAGTCCAAAAATCCCCATCTGGATGCAAGTACCCTCATTCACAGCACAGTGGGAGTCAAAATGAAAGGGCTGAAACAAAGGAAGAGCTGCCTAAGGATCTCACCTTTCAGTAACAGGGAATACAAAATATTATTTCAATACATTTATCAGCAACCAGAAATAGGAAGAAACATAATACAGTGGAGCATATTTTCCCAGAAACCAAATCTCAGAAATTCAGCCAGGTCTAAAGTTCTAAGATTTATTGACAATCTACTTAACCTAAGAATCTCAGCTTTTTGTTTTTTAAACCCCTACCTCCAGGGCTTTTCTATGCATTAGAAATCATGGAGTTAAAGCACCTGGCACAGAGTAGGTTGTCAATAATAAGCTGCTATAATCATTACAACATGGTGCTTCAAAAAACTACAGCCTAATCACTAGTATTAAAGATATCAATAGACACTTCTACATAATTTTAAAATACTTGCTAGCTAGTACACACATTTCAAAGAGTCATTTTTAATGTTTTAAATAAGCCCACTTCTCTGTAACTAGTAACTGTCTTCTCCAGCAGAAAACAACCAAAGTATTTTGAAAGTATGACAGTCAAGTATGAATGAACTCAGAATTAAGTATCTTAGGCCCAATGGCTGATAGAGACAATACTCTTATTTGTGGTGGTTTCCAGAAGCTTCAGTGGGTAGCAAAAGGAAGCAGGTTAAAAAGGAAAAAAGGATTCGGAGAGCGGTTTCTATGTTGCAGAAAAGCAAACAGACACTTGAAATAAAAAGGTGAGCCTTCTCTCTGTTACCATCATGGTCCAGGAAATGAGTTCTACATGTGCCCACTTTACCTGACCATATTTTCAGGAATTAAATAAACGTACTTGGTGGAAGAGGTTTATCAACTGCAATAATTACAAATCACATTGGTTCTCTCAACTTTCTCTCTTTAACAAAAAGGATCTCTGGAGCAGAGGATAAAGTTATTTCCTCTGCCATCAAACGCGGCTCGACACCCAGCCCTCGAAGTCCCAGCCCGCAGCAGCCAAGGGGACCGAGTAGGAGACAGTCTGCTCCTACAACTTCCCCTCGATGGACCGGTATGACAAGTTCCTCCTTTCCCTTTTCCTACTCAATTGTGTACAGCGCTGACTTCTCCGGTCTCCCGGGCTCGGGATAGTCTCGCCCAACACTCAAGCCCCTTTTCCGTTACCCTCTCAACCTAGCTCTCCTCCGGTGACTCGAGCCCGTCTTCCTCGCCACCCCTGCTCAGCCCTCTCTGACCAACCCCCTTCCCAGGTCCCGATGCCTCTCAGGTCAGCCCCCTGCCCCAACTGGTCTGTCTCAGCCCCCAGGCCCTGTGGCTCCCACTAGAGAGCCCTGCCCCTGAGCTCGGGCGTTTCGGAACCCAGGGTCTTTCCTTTGCTGCCTTGCCCAAGACCCATCCTCATCAGCCCCTTGGCAAAACCCACTCGGAGGCCTCGCCCTTACCTTCCCAGTAATTGCTGGTTCCTGCCGCCATCTTTGTTGTCCAACGTCAGTCGGGGTAAGAGTAGAGGCGGTGCGAGCCAGAGAGTCACCTCCGCGCCTTCTTCCGCCCTAGCGCCAGGGCCGATGGGATACGTGAGCTTCCACAGACACCGCCATCTGGAGGTCAATTTATCATTTTCCACCTTTTGAGTAGCGAGACTGAAAGCTGGCGGGCTTGGAGCCTGACACTCCCCGTCTTTCTGGTACTCCTTTCCGTTCTCCGGGCTCGGAAGTCTCATCAGCGCATCACGGCTCTCAGCTCGGCTTATTCCCCTCTCTCAGCAGAGCCGGACAGACTGAGAAAAAAGTCATCCTCAGACACGGCTCCCGCTTCCTCACCGTCTCGCGTTATATATCTTCAACTAGCAGCCTCTTGTCCTTCTCAGAGCCAGAGGCTCATTTCTTCCCAAGACGAACTCTTCATCCTACCTGCGCCTGTGGTCCATTATCCCAGGATCTCTGACTTACGTGCTCTTCTTCACTGGCCGCCTTTTCCTGTCTGCAGTAGTTAAGAGTCCCGGCCCTCTATTCTCTCCAGCCACCAAATCTGGAAAGTGTGTGCTGTTTCCATGTGCCTCAGCCTGACTCTCAACCTGTTAAAATCGGCTGTCCAAAGCCACCCTTTATAGATACATAAATTAGCACAGTCTATCTGTATCCACGTATTACCAATTCCAGCGAAATGCAGAAACCTTACTTCCTATAAAGGTATTTAAATCACACTTGTCCCTTTACCCACTCCCATCTATAATTTTCTTTTTCTCCTCTACATTCATTGAGAACTACATCAGATCTTATAATTTTCGTTTCAACTGTCAAATATAATTTATAGAATTCAAAAGGAGAAAAAAGCCAACTGTTTTACCCATATTTTACTCTATTTTTCTTTCTGCCATCCTCATGTTCCAAGATTTCTTCTTTTTATCATTTTCTTTCTGTTTCAAGAACTTTCTTTAGCCATTTAAGAATAGGTCAGCTGGAGACAAATTATATTAGTTTTCCTTCATCTGAGGATGTTTTGTTTTCCCCATTATTCCTGAAAGACGTTGGTGCTGGATATAGAATCTGGGGTTGACAATTTCTTCTTTTCAGCCTTTGATCCATGTGACAATTTCTCTTGACCTCCACAGTTCCTGGTGAGAAATTGGCTGTTCAAGTTGTTTTTCTACTATAGCAAAGGCATCTTTCTTCTTTTACTCCTTTCAAAACTTCAGTTTTCAGAAGTTTGATTATGATGTGTCTTAGTGTAGATTTCTTTGGTTTTATCCTGTTTGGGATTTGCTCAGCTTCTTGAATCTTAAATTTATGTTTTGCCAAATTTGGGAAATTTTCAGCTGTTATTTCTTCTAATACTTATTCCGCCCCATATTCTTTCTTCTCCTGGGACTCCAATAACATGAATGCTAGATCATTTGCTATAGTCTGCCATATCCCTGAGGCTCTAATTTTTTTTCTATTTTCTGTTGTTCAGGTTGAGTAATTTCTACTGTTCTGTCTTCATAATCATTGGCAGGCATGTCTTTCCTTTGTCCCCTCTATTCTGCTGATGAGCCCATTCACTGAGTTTTTTATTTTAATTATTGTATTTTTCAGATCTAAAATTTCCACTTGGTTCCTCTTTACATCTTCTGATTCTTTAATGAGACTTTTTATCATTTTTTCTATTTGTAATTCCTCATTAAAATATTTTTATTATATCCATGTCACCTGATTCTAACATCTGTTGTCTGTTTCCATTCAAGTTGAAGTTTTCTGGGTTTTTGGTACAGTGAGTGATTTTAAAAATCGTATCCTGGATATTTTAGGTATTATTAGACTCTGAATCTTATTTCAATCTCCATTTAAGCAGAACTTCTCTGATAGTGTGCTGGTAGGGGACATGGGAAACTGCCTTGTTACTACCAGGTGGGAGTGGAAGTTCAGGCTTTCTCCTTTACTTCTTGATGTCCCAGGAGTAGAGGTGCCTTGATACTGCTCCCCACATGGCCTCCACTGACACCATAGCAGGAGGCCTCCTTACTCCTCTGCAATGGTGGAAGTCCTGGCTCCTCATCTGGCCTTCTTTGACACCACCCAGGACGTGGGAAGGAGTGCCTTCATTACAGCCAGGTGAGCATGGAGTCTATGCTCCCCGCTCAGCTTTTGCTGGCAGAGGGTAGAGACAGGCCTCAGTTCCCCCCCACCCCCGAGAATTTGGCTGGAATAGTGCAATTATTATCTAAAAATATTGTTGTTGTGGGTTGCCCCTTTGCTTTGGGACTTTTTTTTTAATCTGCACACTTCGGCGTTTCTGGGTCACCAGCTTCTCTAGTACCCATTGTGGGATATATGAGGCAAAAGGACAACCCAGGCAACTCACCACTGTGTCGTTTCTTGGATCCTGAAGTCCCTAGCTGTTCTGACTTATTCTCTCCACCATTCTGAGTCTTACTGTTTTATATATAATACATGAGGGGGTTTCACTGTGCTTAGTGGAAAAGAAATAGATCTTCTCCATTTTGTGCAGAATCAAAAGCTGCCATTTGATTTTTAATAGATATTAATTCCGTCCAAATTCATCTTATCTTCTTTCTTGAATTTATTCATCATCATTAATTTAAAGTTTCTGATAACTGAAAAATCTGTAACTCCCCTGGGACTGTTGTATGTTTCTTTTTCTTGTTCTTTTATTATTTGATGTTGTCCTTTGCCAATTAAGTAACTTTTGATTGGATGCTGTGCATTACAGGTTAAAATTTGTAGCAGTTATTTGAGGCTTCAGATGATCTCCTCCAGACGCAGTTTACTGCTGCTTCTTTACTGCTGGAGTAGGGGCCCACCAGTTTACTCCAGTATGGGCCGGGGCTAAGGCCAAGTGGAATTGTATTTTTGTACAAAGTGATCTGTTTCTGATGGGCCCTTACTTCTAATGTACAGCCACTTAAGTATCCTGAGTCTGCTGACCAGTGCCCTCTTCCTTGATAGGGGCTGAACTCAATTTCCACTGACTCATGGATACCGCCTCCAGCTTCTGCCTGGGTTCTCTGCCTCTTGCCTAGCACTCTGCTGCCGGGTGTCTTTGTCTCCACTTACAAATCAACAAATGCCTCAAGGTGAAAATTTTACTATTATATTCACCCTGAACTCCCTTTGCTCTAGGATCTAGGCTCTATTAGACCTTGTTACCTTAGAAGATCTCTAATCCTTCAGTTTTTTTAAAAAAAGATTTATTTATTTTTAGAGAGGGGGAAGGGAAAGAGAAAAAGAGGAAAAGGAGTATCAATGTGTGGTAGCCTCCTGCGCATCCCCTACCAGGGACTTGGCCTGCAACCTAGGCATGAGCTCTGACTGGGAATCAAACCAGCAACCCTTTGGTTTGCAGGCCAGTACTCAATCCACTGAGCCACTCCAGGCAGGGCAGTTTTTTTGTTGTTTTCTGGGTTTTTTGTTTTTTTTAATCCAGCTTTTCTACTTGTTGATGGGAAGATCTGTTTCAACCTAATCCACTCATAGCTGGAAATAGAACTAAATTATCTTATTACTAATTGACCCGTAGATTATTTTGTATTTTTCAACACACAATCATATCTACCAGTAATAACAAATTTGTTTCTCCCTTATTTTACTTAATATTTTTAGTTTGTGGCTGTGATCTCTTTTGTCAACACTGCAGTTTAGGTACTTGAGTGGGGTGTTTGTTTTGGTGGTAGGGAAGAACTTTAAGTGTTCCAATTTTGCAGTCCTCTTTTGCTTCTTTTCTATCACCTATTTCAGTTTTTTCCTTCACCAGAAGCTGTTTCAAAGACTGCCCCTTTAAATCCTGCCTGCCTCTTTAAATTGTACTCACTTTGAAGTCCCAGAGCTTTGTGCTCTGATCTGCTTTTAGACCATTCAGGCTTAAGGTGGAGTTTTAAGCCAACTGTGGGCCCTTTCTTTGGCATCCTTCTTCTGTCTTCCTTGCAGTTCACCTCTTCCTGCCCTCTCTCCACAAAGCTTTGCATTGCAGGGGGGCTGCGGAGGGCATCTGAGAGTACCTGCTGAGACTCAGTGATTTTTCTCATTTTATTCAATTAGGCTGAAATTTCAGAATTTCCTTACTTCAAGTTATGTTGAGACTGGTTTCTGGATATACTTTTCTTGTTTTAGCATTATTTTGCAAAAAAAAAAAAAAATATATTGGGAGACTAGTAGCTTAGGTTGCTACCAATGTTTTCAGCTACCTGGAAGTTCACCTTCATTCTTGAAAGGTAAGTTCAATATAGAATTATGTTGGAAGTTACTTAATGTTTCCCCCAGCACTTTCAAAGTGTAATTTCACTGCAGTCTGGTTTCCATTGTTGGGAGTGAGTATAACCTCTTAAAATAGCTAATTCTTTGAACTTAAATTTTTTCTCTCTCACTGCTTTACTCCCTCTCTCCCTTTGTCTTCAGTACTCAGTTTTACTGATGTGTCTAGGTGTGGATGTTGACATTTCCTAGCTTAAATTAATTGAATTTAATGTATCACTATTACCCAGCATGTATTAGTCTTATGTTAAAACCACATTTTTACCCTCCCCTTCATATTTTCCACCTTTTAGCCTTTGTGCTGCGTAAGGGATTTTCTGTGGATCTGCCCTTCTAGTTCATAGCTTCTATGCCCAATCTATTACAATGATCCATTTAAATTGTTTTGTATTTTCATTTCTAAAAGCTCTATTATTTTAGTTTCCTGTGATAGTCTGACTTATCTTTTCTTTGAAAACAGTAAGTATATTTGTTTTACAGTTGTTTCACATCAATTCCTAAAACTAGTGTAGAATTTTTTCTGCTCACAGGTGCTGTCATATTTCTCTACATGCTTGGTTATCTTTGTCTATATTTGGTAATTACCCTTGTGAAAAATTGTGAATTCTCCAAATCTAGGATGGAGATACCTTCCACTGATGATCTGAGTTTAACTTGGTCACCTCGTAGTAGTACCATATGGCTTGACACCTGGACCACCTAGGCTATGCATACCTGGCTTGGTTCTAGACATGTTTCCTACACCCAGTCCCTTTCAAATGTGTTTCCGTCTAGTCCTCCTCAAAAGAAAACTGTATATACAATCCTTGCTTTTACGTTCCCAACACTCACATTCTTGAAGTAAAAACTCAGCAGCCACTCTCTGTTATCTTTGCAACTTTTTATAAATCAAAAACTATTTCAAAATTTTTAAAAAACCTAGCAGTTGTCCAGTTCAGCCATCACCATTATCAGTCTACTCGTCATCCGTCCCATTCCCTATCAATTCTCTGGGCAGTGCACGTCTTTCAGGCACAAAATCAAAAGCCTGTTCAATTCTGAAACACTCTGCTAGAAACCATATAATACGTGACAATAATAATAAATGTTAGACCAACTTGAAATTAGTAGTAGTTCACATCTAGTATCTGGACCTTCTCCATGACCTCTTCACTTTGGCTCAACCTCAGTGACAATCACAGAATATAATCCATGACAATTTCTATTTAATTTGCAATCTCTTTGTATGTTTCACTTAAAATTTCTTCACCTGCTTTTATTTTCCACCTGCAGTTTTAACTATATCATGGCCTCTTCATATTGCTTCTGATGAGGCATCTGTCTCAATATAGTACTCCCAATTCCGGTTACCAAAATTTCCAATTTAATCAATCTTCTCACCTTCCTGTTCTCAAACTTCTTCCAGGCTGGCCTTTAAACTTGAACACCTTTCTACTCCAGTTCTTGCTTGCCTGTCTACACTTGTTTGCCCAGTAATAGGGAATAGGATTACATCTAACTCCAGCCAAAAGGCCAGAAAAAATAACATGCTTTCTTTTAACATTCTACTGATTAATGTAAGGTGCAAATTACATTAAAGCTAAAATTGGGCTTTACATGCTGATTTGAGTGCTTTTAAATTGTGGGTCATAAGTAATAATGTATCTGAGGTATGCACTAAATACCATAGAACCACTGATAACCTACCACAAGGGAGAGTAAGAGAGGAAAACCTACATGATGGCTTTTATTCACAACTGAGCCAATAATCAACTGGCTCCGCTCCAAAGTCCATGCTCAAATCTCTGCTCTATTTCTTCTAGAGCACTTTCTTTTCAGAGGAACTAGTCACTATAGAAATATAGCTGCCTTCCATTTGTTTCTCTGGTCCAGACTATGAGTTCCTTGTCGGCAGAGCCCATGTTTCTTATATAACTTTGCTTTCCCAATTCTCATGAGAGCAGTGGTATCAACAAATTATTGCAAAATGAATTCATCTCCACTATGCCAAGAAATGCCAAGGCAAATTCTGAGCTCATCTGTAAAAACAACCAAATATTCAACAAACAAGTTTAAAATGGGTACATAAACCTTTCAATGACCAGTTTTGCGGTGTTCCTTGTAGAATTATTAGACATGTCAGTCCAGCTGAGCTACAAACAGAAAGAAATGTGATTATACACTGTAATTATTTCAGAAAGTTTTCTTTTGAGTCAGTGTGAGACAGACACACTCTACAGGTAACACCCTGTATTCCTAGGCTGGTGCTATTTTTCTTCTACTATAGATAGAAAAACTAAATATAAACTTTCAAATTGGAACAATAACTTTTTCTGGTCTATTGCTTTTGAGAAGAGATTATGAGACAAAACACAAAGAAAGACAAACATCATAAAATAACTTTTATACAGGATTAGTAGATCTGTTTACATATAAAAAACAGAAAGGACCTCATTACAGTTAGATTTCACATAAATTACACAGATTGACTTTTTAAAACTATGATTCAACTTTGTTTAAAGTCCCTTTTAAAAATTTCATTTTGAAGGCACAGTGCATGAAATAAACCAAAGACTGAAGCACTTGAGATGAATGAGTGTTAGGCACCTCATATAAATAGCTATAGATTTTTCTGGAGCTGGGGAAGGTCACTCTGAAAGAAAATGGAAAGGTGAAAAACTAATTTTTAATCTGAGCATAAAAAATATGTCATACTTCCATAAAATCCGCAGTGTGGCCAGCATAGAATGTACCTAGTACACTCATGATATGCTATTTATAAAAGTCATAATCATACATATTATACAGTTTATGTCCCATGGTCTCAAAATGGTAGCCTACTTTTGAATTTCATAATATATTCTATCAAATCAAAATCAACTAGAACAATATTCTGAAAGTCAAGTGGAATATTACTTATTGCTAAAACAGAGGAAATGGGTGTTGGGAGATGCTTCTTCATGAATTATAAATCCAAGTTCAGTTGATGTTAGTCAAAAACCCTAATCTCCCACCCCTGAAAAAAAAAAAAAACTGCTTTACCTGAAAAAAATCAGAAACCCAGAGAGTTATCAAAAAGTTGCTATATAGAAAATCACTAAACATCAAACTGGAATTTTTTTTGTGATAATAACAAAGTTGCTTCTGTTTAAAACAATTCCACCAGAGAACCATAACATAGGGCACTAGGTACAGCATTCACAGCTAAGAAGCTTTTAGTAGAGCGGGGACAGAACCTGGCACAAGTGCATTCCTGGCAACAAGGAGATAAAACTATTTACTGCTGAGAATGAATGAAAATGGAGGAGCAGGTCATGGTTACTGAGTAACCTGGTGTTAGCTCAGAAACACAATAAGCTCAGGCATAAGCACTGTCTTTTATTTGTCAACTTGGAATTAGTTTTAAGTTCAAAATTCTTTAATTCAGCAAATCCCATTCAAGTGAGTTACCAAAGGTAAACCAATTAGTCACACGGGGCCTGCTATACATTATGCTTCCTTTCTGAAAGATGAAAAAATCCCAAAGCAAATTTCCTCCATTGAACACTGTAAGCATTCCTCAACTGGACGGGATCGCAATCTCTTATCTAAACATTCAGCAATACATCAAAACCAAAGGGTTCTTCCTCTTGAAAGTAGCTTAAGTTCATCCTATTGAACTGCATAATCCGTACAAGTACATTTACACAGGCAGACACTTTGAACATTACCTACTCAATCATTTTACTTTTATTGAGGAGCTGGGAGGGAAGAAGGTTTACAAACTGATCATCAGGACACAAAAAACATGCCTTGTGAGTAAAGAAAGGCACGACTCAGGTTTGGTCAAATTTCATAATACTGTGATACTTACTTGCCTCCATGACTCCAAAGAAATGTAAAGTCTCTATGAGAAACACTGAAAAAATGCATTCCCCATTCCATATGGCTTCAATGCCTTAAGCAGTTAATGTGGTCTAATATTAAATTAGATCCACAAACAAAAGACAAAGCAAGGCAGAGAACAGTCTTAGTAGTCATGATCCTGTACATTCATGTTAATAGTAACACAGGCTGAGAAGCCTTGTTTTCCAGAACAATTCACTATTTAGAAATTCATTCAAGATTAAAGATTTATAGCAGAATTTGGGTTTCTTTTCAGGAAAAATTATAAAAAGAAATGGTTGTACATTCATTTCTAAAAAATTTTACACATGCTTAAAAGGCATGGACTCCATCCACTGTGATGTACAGTTAGAAACAGGTCTAACTGAGGAGAGAAATGAATTTAAAAGGCATCCTCCCACAAAGAACTACTTAAGTAAAGGCTGTCACATCACCTTTAATTTCTTCTTGCAATGTCTCAAAAGAGCCGGCCATTCATAGGCCCTTGGTTGGTTTTCTTAGTTTTCATTCTTAAAAATAAAGCTGAAAAGAGCAATACCACCGTATCATCCTCTTAAGGGAAATGTGAAGAAATTAATCATATACATTTAATTAAGTATTAGCACCCTGCAAAATCTGTTCTGTGTATGTGGTAGGGAAAAAATGGTGTGGCAAGGGCTCAAAATTTAGACTTGTCAAAAACAGGATTAATACCAGCATGGCTTAACCTTGAACAACCCAAATTTATCACAGCTACTCACTAGTAAACATCATGACTTATTCCCGCTAACCAAATCTCATTTTATAAAGCCATTTTGGGTGCATTCCTCACAAAACTTGCATGAATGACTTATGTGGGTGGTAAACCATTCCACATGAAGACTTTGAGATAATTGATATATTAATGGATATAGAATACAGTTTGAAAAGATGAGAGCAAGTTTTTTGATCCCCTGATTTAGTACAAGTTCAGCAGCAACTTGGCTGTTAAAACATTCAAAGATATTAAACCATTAGATTGTTGGTAAGACTCACACTTAAAAAGCATCATTTCCACTGAATAGCATGATATTACAGACACAATAAAATACAGATCTTTCAGGTCTTTGCAGTAACCCAACTGGCAGTGAAAATGATACTTTCCTCACCACAATGGTACATCACACAGCAGTTCATAACTTTTTTTTTTAATAGAGCCATATTTAAATGCTTTCAACGAACTTTAAACAAAATTGGTTGATAAAAAAAGGAGACTTTCAAACGAACCATTAGGGCAAAGAACCCAATCACTTGCAGAGGTGCATATGAGTTAAACTGGCCAAGCCATTTCAACAACAGTATGCTACAACAGGGTGTAGGTTTGGGCTGGAGCATGACGTCTGCGTAAATAGTTTGTATTCAAACGTAGGACAAGAATGTGCCAAGTAGGTTTCTTCCCTACTTCTAGATATTTTCAGTAGAATTCAGATCTTGTAGATTGCTGGGTAATCTGAAAACCACAAGTGTACAACACAGAAAAAGGCTCAAATTTAGGGATTAAAGAATTAAGCATTCCTAGAATAACTAGTGTTTCACAGATAAAAGCAGCAGCACCTATGGGTTTTTACCGAGTTAAAAGATAGGCAACATGAGTTTTAGCTTTTGCTAGATCTCCCTCTTAGCTCCATTCAAACAGACATTTGATCTTTTACAACAAAGTCAACAAGTTCTCCTGTAAAATGGGGATCTTTAAAACTTTGCTAAACCTTACACGAGAGGTAGTGAAATCCTGCAGAGAGCACAGGCCACCAGTTCTGATCTAGCCTTAGAACAGGTAGGAAGCAAATGCGGAAGCCCATTTATTCATTTCTTAATGTTATATGTTTAAAAATCAACTCAGCCTCCACTAAACCTGAATAATAAGAGAAACTCCAGCTATTTAATAACTAGAGAAAAGTACTCCTCAGTAGGTTAAGAAAACCTTGAGTTTTAAAGCTTTATGTCAGATTCTGACTGCTGTCCCTGCCTTAATGTTTCTGGATTCTTTTGGCCATTTAAAATAAAGGAGAAAAAAAAAAGCTAAAGCCACTAGGAAACACCTGATGTACAAAATACAACATCCACTAGTTGGCTTTATGCAGTTATAACAAGCTCCAAACAGCTCATTTTAAATTAAAAAGAAAAACAAAGTGGCTGTCCCATTTCTGCTGCATAAATAGAAAGCAGATTAAAAAAAAAAAAAAAAGGTAAGGGTACTTTGAGGGGAAGTTCAAAACTGCCAGCCAAATTCACAGAAAATACAAATTTAGCGAGTTAACTTCCCAAGGCTCTTTGAAGAAGCAAGATAGTCTCTCTTCTTAATGCCGTGTCTCCCAAAAGGAACTATAGTTTTGCTTGGTTCTTATGCTGGGAGATATGCAAGGTGTGTTTTTCAATGTTTGCTAGAATATAATGTTTCCTCCTCAGTGTCTGTTTCATCCTGGAACTCATGGCTTAAGAGGGACTTCTTGGAGCCGGTTGCCATCATGCGAATTTCATCTTCATACTCATCATGATGCTGCCTGAGCCGATGAAAGCCATCCTTGTGTCTGTTAGATTTGATCGAGCAGATGCACCAAATGATGCAAGCTGTTAGGACCAATGCTGACATAGTGGCACCTGCCAAAGAAAACCACCAAATGAATGGTGTTTTACTTTAAGGACATAAACAAACAGCTACTTATAATGACGCTTTTAATAATATGCTATTCATTTGTTTTATTTTTATTTCATATACTTTAAATCAGCCTTTTATTATTACAGAAGCAGTATATTCATAGTACGCAAAATTAAATACAAAGAGCAAAATTACTAAAAACCCAAACCCAAAGTCCCACATCTTCACATTTCCATTACCTCAAGATCACTTTAACAACCCTAGTGCATATTTTTCCAGATTTTTCTTCATGCATTTGTATGTATACACAGTTTTCTTTTACTGCAATAAAATTAAACTGTGTCCATTGTTCTGTAACTTATCACAGGCTCTTTTTTCCTCTCCAGTAAATTTTCATCTCATCTAAAACCCCTCATTTATTTAAATGATTTGTACATTGTCTCTACTCTAGGAAGACAAACAATCCAATTAAAAAAATGGGCAAAGGACCTAAACAGACACTTCTCCAAGGAGGACATACACAGGCCCCAGAGATATATCAAATGATGTTCATCATCGCCAGCCACCAGAGAAATGCAAATTAAAACCACAATGAGATACCACTTCACACTGGTCAGAAGGGCCATCATAAATAAATCAACAAACAATGGGTGCTGGTGAGGTTGTGGAGTAAAGGGAACCCTAGTGCACTGTTGGTGGGAATGCAGACTGGTGTAGCCACTGTGGAAAACTGTGGAATTTCCTCAAAAAGCTAAAAATGGAACTGCCTTTTGAACCAGCAATTCCACTGCTGGGATTATACCCTAAGAATCCCAAAGCACCAATTCAAAAGGACCTATGCACCCCAGTGTTGATGGCAGCACAATTTACAACAGTCAAGTGCTGGAAGCAACGTAAGTGCCCATCAGTAGATGATTGGATCAAAAAATTATGGTACATTTACACAATGGAATACTACGCAGCAGAAAGAAAGAGCTACTACCCTTCATGACGTCATGGATCAAACTGGAGAGCATTATGCTAAGCGAAATAAGCCAGATGGTGAAAGACAAATACCATATGATCTTACCTATAAGTGGAACCTAACCAGCAAAGCAATCAGGCAAGGAAAATATGACTAGCAACACTGAAAGAACGAAGAAACTGAAAGGGGCGGGAGGGAGGGAGGGATATGGGCAGCCGGGAGGAGAAGGGGAAGGGTCAGATTGAGGGGAAAAAAGATAAAAGATTTGTACATAAAGTTATCAGAGTAAGAGTCTTAATATCAGGAAATAATAATAAAATCATAAATTAAGTTCATGCCAGCAATTGGGTGGCAGAGCCAGATTTAAACTGTGGCTAAATCCTAGCTCCTGTGATTCTAACCACTGTGAACCATATTTCAACTGGTTCAAGCTAAGAACTCTTTATTTTTTAAAAATATATATATTTTATTGATTATACTATTACAGGTGTCCCATTTTTTCCTCCCCTTTATTCCCTTCTGCCCTGCACCCCTCCTTCCATCAGCATTCCCCCCACCCCTTAGCTCATGTCCATGGGTCATACATATAAATTCTTTGCAGGCTGGCACTCAATCCACTGAGCCACACCAGCCAGGGCTACATATAAGTTCTTTGGCTTCTCCATTTCCTGTATTATTTTTAATCTCACTCTGTCTATTTTGTACCTAGTATTTATGCTTCTTATTCTCTGTACATTTTCTCCCATCCCCCCCCACCGCTCCCTCCCAGATGATCTCCATTTCTGTGATTCTGTTCCTGTTCTAGTTGTTTGCTTAGTTTGTTTTTGTTTTTTCTTAGATTCAGTTGTTGACAGTTGTGAGTTTGTCATCATTTTACTATTCATAGTTTTTGATCTTTTTTTCTTAGATAAGTCCCTTTAACATTCATATAAGGGCTTGGTGATGTTGAACTCCTTTAACTTGACCTTATCTGGGAAGCACTTCATCTGCCCTTCCATTCTAAACGATAGCTTTGCTGGGTAGAGTAATCTTGGATGTAGGTCCTTAGCTTTCATCACTTTGAATACTTCTTTCCAGCCCCTTTTTTCCTGTAAGGTTTCTTTTGAGAAATCAGTTGATAGTCTTATGGGAACTCTTTTGTAGGTAGCTGCCTCCTTTTCTCTTGCTGCTTTTAGATTCTCTCCTTATCTTTAATCTTGGGTAATGTAATTATGATGTGCCTTGGTGTGTGCTTCCTTGGGTCCAACTTCTTTGGAACTCTCTGAGCTTTCTGGATCTCCTAGAAGTCTATTTCTTTGGCCAGACTGGGGAAGTTCTCCAGCATTTTTTCAAATAAGTTTTCAATTTCTTGCTCTTCCTCTTCTCCTTCGGCCACCCCTATGATTTGGATGTTGAAACATTTAAAGTTGTCCCGGAGGTTCCTGAGCCTCCTCCTTTTTTTGAATTCTTGTGTCATTCCGTTCTGGTTGACTGTTTATCTCTTCCTTCTGCTCCCAATTGTTGATTTGAGTCCCGCTTTCCTTACCTTTACTACTGTTGGTTCCCTGTATGTTTTTCTTTATTTCACTTTGTGTAACCTTCGCTTTTCCCTCCATTTTGTGACCATACTCAACCAATTCTGTAAGCATCCAGGTTATCAGTGTTTTGAACTCTGCATCTGAGAGGTTGGCTATCTTTCATCATTTAGTTCTATTTTTTGGAGCTTTGATCCAGTTTTCATTTGGGTCATATTTCTTTGTCTCAGCACGCCTGTTACATTGGAAGGAGAAGCCTTAGGTATTCGCCAGGGTGGGGCCACCCAGGTCGCTGCGTTGTGACACTGTATGTGAAGGAGGGGTCTAAGAGGGAACAATGCCACTTGCTTGGCTCTTGGCCAGCTTTCAGTCACTTACCCCACTACCCACAAGCAAATTGGGCCCTTCTGGTGCTGATTCCTGGGTGGGTGGGTTTGTATATGTTCTAGGGCCCTGTAGGTCTCTCCAACAGACTCTCCTGTGTGGCTGGGAGTTTATACTGGTGCTGCAACCCCCACAGGTTTTTACCTCCAGAGGTTTTGAGGCTTTCTTTTCCTGCACTGGAACACTGGGTTGCGTAGTCTGTCTTGCTCCCCAGCCAATCCCCACGGTTTATCCGCACGTAAACATGGCACTGCCCTGTCCTCCAACAGCCACCTTGCTGCACGGCCTCTCTGCCCCTCCTACTAGTCTAGATGAATGTCTCTTTAACTTCTTGGTTGCTGGACTTCCATACAGTTCGATTTTCTGGCACTTCTGGTTTTTAAATTTGTTGTTGTATCTTTTGGTTGTGCGAGGAGGCAAAGTGTGTATCTACCCACGCTTCCATCTTGGCCAGAAATCGGGTCTTTTTTTTTTTTTTAATTCTTTTTTTCTTCTTGTTGTCTATCATCTTAATATAAGGCAAATCATTCACTGAGTCAACAACTCTTCCACTACATGCCAATCATGGCTCTAGGCACTGGGTATATGGGTAAATGCTCTGCTCTCTCAAACTTATGCTTTAGTGGGAGAAAGTAAATATAGACAAATAAATGATTAAATATATAATATAATGTCAGATAGTGATACTTGCTATAATACAAGCAAGAAGGTTAGGATAGTGACAGGGGTACTATTGGGTTGGCCAAAACATTCATTTGGTATTTTCTGTAAGATGGCTCTTGTAGTGCTTAGTTGTCTTTAATTTCATGTGAAACAATTTTGTTATGTTGTATTATGGCAGCTGTCATATCAGCATACATTAAAAAAAACCATCAAAATTGTTGAATTTTTGTGTCGCGATTTTAATATTGAAGATGGAAGAAAACATGCAATATTTCCGCATATTATACGTTATTATTTCAAGAAAAGTAAAAATGCAACAGAAACATAAAAAAAAGATTTGTGAAGTATATAGAGAAGGTGATGTGACTGATTGAACATGTCAAAAGTGGTTTGTGAAGTTTTGTGCTGGAGATTTCTTACTGGACAATGCTCCACAGTCAGGTAGACCAGCTGAAGCAATCAAATTGAGACATTAATTGAGAACACTCAAAGTTATATAATGCAGGAGACAGCTGACATACTCAAAATATCCAAATCAATAAAGTTATTGGTGAAAATGAAAAATGTGTCTTTTATTTTACAGAATAAACTAAACAGACTTTTTGGCCAACCCAATGTTTTTACAAGTGTGATCAGGGAAGGCCTCTCTGTGGAGATGACATCTGAGTACAGACCTGAAAACGTGAGGGGCAAGCCATGAAAACACATGGGAGAACAGTGTTCCAACAAAACCATGTTTAGGGTTTAACCTAAACCATATTAGGAGATATTAGAAGTGATTAGCTTCAGGTGATTATAGAGGTGATCCATTCTCAAATTAAAATGTCAGACTGGTGTTAACTTCAACTACGAAAAACTTAAATTCCTTTACCTGATACAGTTACCACAAGCTCCCTTGGCAAACCAAATATCCGGTTATCTGTGTCAAAGACTATTACCACAGAACTAGCTGCATCATGATGCACAAAGACCTGGAAAGATAAAGTACAAGAATTATGAAAAAGTTTACTTAAAGTATATTGCATCCCTGCTGTATTCCTAGAACCTCTTTTAGCAAACCAAAGAAATGATTCACTGTCATCTAAAGTATACAAAATGCTAAAAAAAATCTATCAAGAGCTGGTCATACTTTTTATTTTATTCCCCACAGCTTGATAACAAGATTTTCAAAATAAAATAGAAGTATTATTATAAATAAGAATTTACATGCTACTACTTGATGTGAGTCTCTTACCTGTGAATGTTGTTGCTGATACCCATCTGCGATGGCATTGATATTATGGACACCTGGGGCTAGCAGGACATGGAAGTAGCCTCCCTCTTTTGTGTGTACCTTTATTCCTTCATTGAGTACAATGACTGCATTAGAGATGGGTTTTCCAGTCTTATCTTTAACAAATCCATGAACTCCCTTGTGAACCTGAAAACATATTAAAATATAAATTTATGTTTTCATAGTGCCAGATGGTCTGGCAATAGTTTGAGGCATGACAAAAACAACAAACAAAGCAACAAAAATCCCATGAGACCGGTTTACTTGTCCTTCCCCACTGACTCTGACCTTGTTTGCTACTCATTCACTGCTTCAGAGGCACAGAGATAGACATAAGGGAAAAGAGAACTTTAATAGAGTCAAAGCTGTTAAGTGTTAGGACCAAAATCTTCTGATGACTTTACTGATTTACCTTCCACCATAGGCCACTGTCTCGAGTAACTGTGGTATTCGGATGAAAGAGCCTGCAATGTCTTACAGGGTTAAATTACCTAAATTACAGCAGATTCCAGATTTGTGATCTCATAGCACCTATTTAGGCAATATAAATTGAACAAAATTCTCCTCTCTATATACGTTTAAAATAAATAATATAAATTTTTGATAAAAGATTAAGAAAATGTTTTGATAAAGGTTTTCATTGCACATATTCCTGGAAGTTTGCCTCTAGTTAAAAGGGAAAGACTCACCTCCACCAACATGCTAAGAAGAGATTTTTTATTTTCTGCCCACAAGGAAGGGAGTTGTGCTGCGCTAGGGAAGTAGCAGCAGCTTGTGTATACTGTGATTTCTGGGCAGTGGCCATAGGTGACACTGTAATCCTGGAATATAAAATTGAAAAGCAAATGTAGGGAAATTAATAAGTAAAAGTAAGAGTGCGGCTTTTTAATGCAACAAATAGAGTAAGTGGAATAGAAGAAAACCTGGGTGATATAAACAAAGAATCTGTAAATCATTTTACATTAAAAATAAATAAATCACTTGGTATTACAATCAGTCACAAACATGGCTGCTCCTAAGAGGGCCCTTGAGACCAGGGACTATGTCCAATTTATTTTTGTATCTCCAGTGCTTCCCACAGTGTCTGGCAGCTAGAGGGGGTCTATCAGGGTCTGCTGAATGAATGACAGTACATGCCGTGGGCCAGCTTTCCTCTAAACCATGGAACTTCACTGTTGTTCTGGGAGCTCTGGAGGGAGAAGCACAAATACTTGCCCTCTCGTATCCTCAACCTGCAGCTGCAAGCCTGATGGTGACAACAGCCACTCTTTGCAAAACAATTATCCAGGCACAGGAACTGCTTGTGTGAACAGGTTCCAAAACCTAACTTACCACCTTTCCCCCCAAACCTGTTCTTTTTCCTAATTTCAGTTAATGGTATTAACTCATTTTCTCATACAGATATGAAATCTCTTGTCTTTGACTTCAATGTCTTGCTATCATCCATAATTTGCCAAATCCTGTCAATTCTATCCCTATAATATCTCTGAAACTTAATACTTGATTCCACCCCCACTGCCCCTGCCCCTATTTAGGCCTTTATTATTACTTGTCTAGGCTATTCTAAACCAGTCTCCCTGTACCACAATCTCTCCTTCCTCCAAATTGTCTTAACCCACTGCCAAGAGATTAATTTTCTCATAGAACAGTTCAGACCACATCAGTATATACCTGCTCAAAACCTTTAGTGGTTTCCCATTCCTTACTAAAACAAAGCATTCAAAGCCCCAAACTCTCTTTCCATTCTGTCTTCTACTGCTTTAGTTAGAACACACCACGTTCTAACTAAAACAGACTGCTTACTGACCTCAGGCCATACTTCTTCCTCTTTCTGAAATGCCCTGCTGATTCACCATCTCCACCTAAATGCCCTGTCCTCTACGAAGAGAAGGCTACATCTCTAACCAGGTGTAGACACTTCTGTCTAAAATTTCTCATGGCATGCTGAAAGTTGTTCTCTTCTAAATCAGATTGATTAATTCTGTCACAGAGTTAATGAAGTCAATTTTCTGGTTGTACATGTGAATGGAATGATGAGCTATCCTCCCATTTGCTAACAATTCCTCACTAATTTGAAGTAGATGGATGACCAATTAAAATATTGTCAGAAAGAAATTAAAGATGACCCAAGTAAATGGAAAAACATCTGTGTTCATGGATAAGACAATACTGGTGAGATGCCACCCAAAGTGATCTACAAATTCAACACAACCCCTAACAGAATTCCAACAACCTTTCTGTGCAGAAAAAGAACAGACAATCCTTAAATTCAAATGGAATTACAAAAAGCCTTAAAGTCAGAACAATCTCGGAAAGTAATAAAAGTTAAAATACTCACACTCCCCAATTTCAAAACTTACCTCAGAGCCACAGTAATCAAAACAGTGGTATTGGCATAAGAACAGACATATAGACCAATGGAATAAAACTGAGAGCCCAGAAATAAGGCCATATATCATCTATGGTCAATTTTTGACAAGGATGTTAAAACCATTAAATGGGGAGAGAATAGTCTTTTCAACTAATGGTGCTCAGACAACTAGATATCCACATACTAATAAATGAAGCTGAACTCCTACTTCATATCATACACAAAACTCAACTCAACTCAAATCTAAGAGCTAAATCCATAAAACTCATTAGAAGAAAACATAGGGGGGAAATCTTTATGACCTCAGATTTGGCACTGAATTCTTAGATATGACAACAAAAGCATGTGCAAAAAAAGAAAAATACAGACAATGACAACAATAAAAATTAAAACCTTTTGTGAATCAATAGTCATTATCAAGAAAGTTAAACAACAACCTACAGAATGGGACAAACTATTGGTAAATCAAAACCTCTAATAAGGGTTTAGCATGCAAAATATATAAAGAATTCTTAACACTCAACAACAAAAACAAAAATAAGCCAATTTAAAATGGGCAAAGACTTGATTAGATTTTTCAAAGAAATATACACATGTCCAATAAGCACATGAAAAGATGCTCATCACCATTAGTCATCACAGAAGAGCACATCAAAACTACAATGAGGTACTACTTCACACTCACCAGAATGGCTGTAATTTAAAAAAAGGAAAATAAAAAGTATTGCCAAGGATATGAAGAAACTGGAACCTTTGTACACTGCTGGCGGGAATGTAAAACAATGTGGTTGATACAGAAAAACAGTTTAGTGGTTCCTCAAAAAGTTAAACATAGAATATGACTAGCAATTCCACTTCCTGGTATATGAGGTCTGCACAGAAGGTATCCAGCCATGTAGTATGAAAAATAGAAAATTTATTAAAGAAGATACAAGATACAGGAAACACTGTACACAGGGCAATGATGCTTCAGTCCCCTTCAAAGTAGGCACCTTTGTACCTCATGCAGCTCTCCCAATTGCCATCAGTTTCCCTGCTGTATTTTCCTGAATTTCATTGATGGTCTGAAATCTCTTCCCTTTCAAAGGTGATTTTGGTTTTGGGAAAACCCAGAAGTCACAGGGCGTCAAATCTGGGCTGTAGGGGGCTGAGTCATCTGAGTGACTTGACATTTTGCCAGAAAACTGCACGGGACATGAAGCATGAGTGGGCGTGTTGTCATGATGAAGCTGCCAATCACGTTACCCATAGCCGCAGCCTTCTGAATTATCTGAATAGTTTCCGCAGAGGAATGTTCAAGCTTAATGCAAAATATGATGCAGACTTGTTGCTCTACTTGCTCAGTCATTTTGAATGCGATGGCCACACAGTACACATGCCCACTCAGTGGCATCAATTACCCCCACTGAGTGGTATTGTGAAGTCATCATTGTTCATGCATGTGCATTCCAGTCCACTCCCTTTGGCTGCCAGGTTACATTAATGTCATACAAACTGCAAGAACCACTCTTGTTATATTAACAATGGGTGGACTTTTTCCAGACAGACCTCATATATCCAGAAGAATTAAAAACACAGGTTTAAACAGATACTTGCACACAAATGTCCATTGCAGCGTTATTTTCAACAGCCAAAAGGTAGAAACAACTTAAGTATCCACCAACAGATGAATTGATAAACAAAATGTGGCATATACATACCACAGAACATTATTCAGCTATAAAAAGGAATGGAGTACTAATACATGCAATAAAATGGATGAACCCTGAAAACGTTAGCAAAGTGAAGGAAGCCAGACACAAAAGGACAAATATTGTACGATTCTACTTATATGAAATACCTAAACTAGGCACACACATAGAGACAGAAAGTAGATTAGAGGTTAATGGGCTGGAAAAATGAGGAGTGACTGCTTAGTGGGTGCAGAGTTTCTGTTCTGGGTAATGAAAAAGTTTTGGAAATAGAGGGTTTGGACTGGTGATGCTTGCACAACATTGTAAATGTAATTAATGTCACTAAACTGAGCAATTAAAAATGATTAAAATGACAAAGCAAAACAAATGCTGCCAGATTTAGTTGAGGACCATCACGTCAAGAAAGCCATAAAGCAGATGCCATTTATTTTGCTTATTTCAGAGAAGTCAATGGCCAACATATATAATCTCATTGTCACTGTATTCTATAAAGCATACCTTCATGCTGCCCAGGTGACTGTGCCATTCTGCTCCACGCATTACTCCTCCTGGAATATTCTCATCTATAAAACCATTAAGAAATGTAGAATCAACCAAACCAAAGGGCAAGACCCCTTCCCTTGCCCAAAACAGCAATAACAATAACAGGGTGTAGGGAAAATACCTACCTGATTTATTTGGGCAACTAGGCTGACCCAAGTGCATTGATGGATGATTATTTGCATACAGCGATGCCAAATGCTTCAGGGTCTCTTTGTTTTCTACTACAAAGGAAAAATTCAGAAGTCAGTGGAGAAATACAAAAGATTTTTCCCCAAGTTCAACTTCATGGTTACAAGTCATTTTTCTCTCTGCTTGCACCCCACTGAAGTTTATTGAGGAGTTATTAGAATTAAACATGTGGTTCTGTTTAGCCCAGAATAATGAATAAAAAGACACGCATCTTCCTTACATTAAAAGGTATTAATGGTTAGTTTAGAAAACATGCTATCACACCAAAATACAACTTTCTTTGGTATGTTTTACTACCTTCTCAGGCAACTGTGGCCTACTTATAACAACATCCTGTAAGCTATACTGAAAATGACACAAACTATCTCCATATGCAATGGCCTCAAAGAGATTCGACAAGCAATTTTTTTAAAATTATTTTTTAAAGATTTTCTTTATTTTTAGAGAGAAGGGAAAGGAGGGAAAAGGAGAGGGAGAGAAACATTGATGTGTGAGAGAAACAATTAACTGGTTGCCTTTCACAGCCCCAAACTGGGGGCCTGGCCTGCAACCCAGGTATGTGCCCTGACTGGGAACTGAACCTGCAACCTTTTGGTTCTCAGGCTGGCATTCAACCTGCTGAGCCACACCAGCCAGGGCAGCAAGCAACTGTTTAACTCACCATAAGGCACAACCAGTCAATCAAGGTTTTAAGCAGGGAAGGGCAATTCAGTATTGTCTCATTCACTTTTTCATTCCCAATGTGCACAGACATAATAATCACTCAATAAATGTCTGTGGACTAAATTGAACAGGTGGGACAAAATGGCTAAACTCAACAAAGCTAGGCCATCATTAGATCTGACCTCTCTTACAAGGAACAGTTTGAGCTGTTGATATACGTATGATCATATCAGGTTGGTTATTTGCTTAGGGAGTATGCTCAAATGTTCACCATTTTAAAAAATTTACAAGGGACATTACTTAATTTGAATTTCCTATCAAAGCTCCAGTCGTATAAATGTAAAGTGACATTCTACATACCTGTTTGTACTGGCTTGTCATATGGGTATGTGACCAGCACTGAACCACCATCTAAAGCCACAGAAAGACTGAAGTCCTGTTTTCTAATCAAATTTTCAATGATGGCTTTAGTCTCAGGCTGGGAAGCATTATCTAAAATATAAAAAAGTAAAATATTGTTTTAAAATTTTAGTGTAAGTAGGTAAGAAAATATTCTCTACATGAACACAATCAGGCTAACTTACAAAATCCGTAGAAAGTGCTTTATTATTCCGTAAGCCACTTTCTCAAGCAAGAAAGATACTCTTTAAAATGTAGGTTATTTTGAGTTTACACACTTCAAGATAATTGTATAAAGGTTGATGACTCTAAGCTAGTAAGAAACAAAAAAGGGAGGAACACATCCTCCTTTAAAAAATAATTTAGGGAATCTATAACCTATCTTTAAAGGTAAATAAAATTTTCAGAGAGCAGGGTATTTTCTGCAGCATTGTTTGCAAGAGCAAAAAATTAGGAATAAATCAAGTGTCTATCAGTACAGAAATGGCTGAATGAACAAGGGCATTGCTGCACATTAACAGCATGCTAAGGTGCTATTAGTAAGAATGTTAGAGATCTACAAGTACTGAAATGGAAAGATGTTAATGATATATTCAATGAAAAAATTTGCAGAACAATATGTACTATAGATGACCCTATCTAAGAAAGAAATAGGCCCCTTCAAATTAACATACAAACATGTGTGCATGTGTGCATGTGGGCCCATGCATTTATGTGGGAGGGTAAGAGATAACAGACGTCTCTGTATGACCAGGGATGGAACCCCCTAATATTACTGATGGAATTTCTAGAAAAAAACTTTAATTATTTTAGTAAATTATAAAGGAGAAAATTTGAAATTTTCTAGATGTCTGCATTTATTTATACCTTACATCTACCACCTAGAAAAAAGTACCCCATCACTCATGTACAAAATAGACTCAACAAATCTCCTAGCAAAGAGAAATAAAATTATCTGCAAATGGCCTTAAAATCGGTCTTACTTGTAAAGTCTGTATCCAGGTCTTTGTCGTGAGCATTTGTTTGACCTATCCTTGAAGTACAGTCTTTCTCTTGTGCTCTCTCTCGCCCATCTGGATTTAGAGAAGGGACAATCACAATTCTAGTCCTGTCAACCAACTAAAACAGAAACAGAAGTCAATGAGTTTATTAGCTGTATGTGGAATCAAAAGGTACCTACCACTCCTCAAATGGAAAACCTTTATTGTTTGTTTTAAACACAGATTTAAAAGGCAAAATTAAAAAATAAAATAATCTCTTGCTTCAAAGAAACAAAAAACTACCACGGAAGTGATGTTTACAGAGACCTCCTGATGACTTACAATAGAGGTCAGAAAACCACTGCCTGCAGGCTAAATCCAGCCTGTTGTTTGCTGTTGTAAATAAAGTTTTACTGACATACAGTCATGCCCATGAAAGGACATTTTTTGTGCTGAAATGGCCAAGCTGAGTAGCTGTAACAGAATACCTGCCCCACAAAGCCTGAAATATATACTGTGTGGCCCCTTATAGAAAAAGTTTGCCAACCACTGGCTTAACTCAATAATACTGATAAGGCTATTTGTCCAGATTAAAAACCAAAATGTATAATCGGACAAATATCAATGTATGTCTGGAAACAATGAGACAAAAGAGTTGAAATCAGTGTGTCAAAAAAAGTGAAATAGGATAGTTGTCTTACTCATATAATTTCTTTTCCAGAAAATTTACAGGCATCAATAACTACATATGTGGCATGAACTAATTTATTTTATACTCATCCTATATATTTCTAATAATAAGTTAGAATAAGTGATCCCTGGTTTATTTATTCTGTTAAAATAGTATTTAGATTGAAAATATTTGAGACCCTTTAATTAACTGATTCTTCAATCTCTCTTCTGGGGAGATTTCTTCCCTAAAATACTCATGCTTGGGCTTCACCACAGGTCTCTCTATGTGCATATTTTCTTTTACCTGTCAAATAATTCTGTCCCTTAGTTAAAAACAAATGACAATCTAAAGTGATCTAGTTCAAGCCCAATAAGGCCAGTGAGGCAAATTCTCATAAACCAGGAGTTTTGAAATTCCTAGGTGTTTCATCTAGGGCAGTCTTGCATAAGCATAATATATTGGTAGGCAGCAACTCTGCCCGAATATTAGAATAACCTAAGTAGCTTTTCAAGGAATATTGATGCCTCTGGGGGTGAGGCCCAGACATTGGTATTTTTAAAAACTTCCCAGATGTTGCTAATATGCAGCCAGGGTTGAGAACCACTGTCCCAGGTATTCTCCCATTTTAAAAACAAATAAAAAAAATGTCATTGAGATACTCCTTGCAACTCACAAGAAAGAGTTAATGGAATTTACTTTGCATAAGATTGTAAAATACTTTTTGATCAAGTCTGATATAAATTAACCTCATCTAATCCCACAGTTTCCTTCTGATCCTAATCAAGACATATATTCTTTCCAAATTTCTTTTAGGGGAGGCGGTACAGTATAACAAAACAGCACAGGCTTTAGAGTGAGATACACTTGGGTTTAATCCTAGTTTTATCACTTACTAGCTGTGTGACTTCATGTAATATCTCTTCAAATATCCCCGTCTCAGTTTTCGCATGTATAAAATGGAGATAACATAATTACAGGGTCAATGATTAAATTATGATGGCTGTAAAGTACTTATTATAGAACTTGGCAGGCAGTGGGTATTAAATAAATATTAGTTCCTTTCTCCTTCCCAAAGTTCTATATAGACAATGTGAATTAGTCAGTGTTCTAGAAGGATACATATTCTTTCCTTCTGTTCTCTAAGACAACACAGAACTAGGTTGCTTAACCCTAGGTGACTAAGCCTATGAATCAAAGTTCTTTTTTGTAGTCATTGATGGGTAAAGTAGACAATGTCATATTGCTTTTTCTAAAATCTCTAGTAGGTCAAGATATCCAATAATTTTGCATTTATTACATAAAAAAAACTATTTGTCTTTCACCTTATTTTTTACTACAGTATCCTAGTTATAGTAACTAGGAATAAAAGTCCCTTAAGTTAGAATGTAAAAAACTGTAAGAAAAGATTGGAAGGATAACCTGACTATTAAATAAGGAAGGAGAGGATTGAATGGAAATCTTTAATATTTTTCCTCTATGTCTCTTAATTGTATCAAAAAATATAATAGAAAGACAACTATTAACAATGAGTATATACAAAGATGATCCATTTTTAAGAGTAAAGTTTATAATGCACTAAAAGTGTCTCTGCATAAAATTGAAGAAATTAAATTTTCAAAATGGTGCCTTGATATCAATGTATCACTGAACTTTTCCTTTTAAAGCATGTCAAAACAGGCTATTCTCTTACTTGGGTAACAGCTGGATTCTTTTTGTAGTTTAGGCAGAGAAATTCTGCCAGAGCCAAAAGCAGTTCAGTTCCAACTGGAGCATTTCCGTGGATACCAGCAACAAAACGAATCTTTGGTTCTTCAGGCTCAGATATGTTGGGCTTATTGGATATTTCAAGGGACCAAATTTGACGATATTCAACACTCTGCCCCAAACTTTCAAAAACCAGAAACACAAATTCAGCAAGTAATCAAGCATTATTAATGTTAATGCTGACATAAATTTTTTTTTAAAAAAAGAAATAAAAACGAAACATGAAAAGTCTTAAAAAACCTTTAAAGAATATATCATCATGCCAAAAGACCTTAAGAAAATTAGTTTTCCTTGACCAAAGAGGAGTGGTGAAAGATTATGATTTAGTTTGGCATGCCTCCAAATTCAGCCATTCTCATATCATTTTCACAATAGTTGTCCTATCTTCTACAATCTACACTAAAATTTAGTTAACATATAAGGAGGGACCCAAAAAAACCTGGATTTTACTTATAAAAACTTGTGTATTTATTCTTACATGTTTAAACTTCAGTCACCTTCAAAGTACTCTCCATTTGATACAATACAACTATGGAGACATTTTTTCCACAGCTCAAAACAGTTTTTGAACTGGTTGATTTTGATGACTTTTAGTGCTTCTGCTGTTTTTTTGTTTCACCTCTTTCACAGTTGCAAAACCTTTCCCTTTGAGGACTTTTTTTTCATCCAAGGAAACAAAAAAACATTGCTTGGGGTGAGATCAGAGGAATAGGTAGGGGTGGGGCACAGGGGTCATGTTTTTTGGTCAAAAACTGCTCAACACTCAGCGTGGTGTGGGCAGGTGCACTTGGAAATCACCCATCATGAAATGGACAAACACACTGAAGCAGTCCTCAAAAAAAAAAAAAAAAGAATTCACTGAAGCTGAACACAGCCTCTCACAACAACGCTGGCTGGTACACTGATACAGATAGGTTCCTAGTACACTCACCTAGCTGGGGAAGCCTGTACTACAAGGGGTTCAACTCCAGAAGATAATTCTGTTTTATTTGGGGGCCACCCCCACTTAAATTTTTATTTTGGAAAAATATAAATATAGAAAAATATAGAGAATCTTTCTTTTAAATCCAAATTAATTTAGACACTTTAGACTTTACTATAAATGTGATACCAGTATCACAGTAAAAATGATTTAAAATGCTCTGCTTGCCCAAGAGCTCTGCTTTCTTTGATATAAAAGGGTATTTACAAGAATTAGAAAAAACATATTTACATTAAGTTGAGAAGAATTAATAGAATAGAAAAGGTATTGCTTTCTGATGATGCTATTCGATGATACTTAGCACCCATCTGTGGACCACCTAAAACTATCTTGTGTCCCACCAATGGCAGGTGTACATTTTGGGGGAAACATTAACTAAAAAGTCATCTTGAATTGGAAGGTTAAAAAAAAATTTAAATGAACAAAGTAAATGGATAGCAAAATAATTTCCTATTTTTTACTTTAAAATGGGTGCTATATGGCACTAAGATAAACAATATTAAAACCTAAACTGAGCAGAAACAGTCAAGAATAGTTTAGGAGGAAAGATAATTGGTATTGCCAATGTAGCTATCATTCTTTTCATCTATGAACATTATCAAGCAGTATTTGAAAAACTAAATTTGCTGGCAAAATTAAAAGGACCAATGATGAAAAACAAAGTAAAGAAGTAAAAAGCTAGATAATATTCATTAGGTATATAGTAGAGGACTGTAAGCTCAGGGAACCATGTAAAGGCCCTCTACAGGCAAACAATAGAAATCAACAAATCAAGTAATTTTGTTGTAACTGTGACAAGACCTAAAGAGGATTTATAATGAAACAGTGAAAGTGAGACAGGGAAGTCCCAGAAAGTGAAGATAAAGACTGTCTCAGCCATCAGTTTTACATAAGACATGTTGCACATTTTCCTGAGACTGTAAATCACATATGTCCCTAAAGCTTCAGGGAACAGCATCTGTTCAACTGTGGATACACATGAGCAGTGATTTTCAACCTATAAATATTACCTTATAAGGGAATAGACTCTTTGTAGCTGTGATTATATTAAGGAAGTGACTTTCAACCTTTTTCATCTCATGGCACACACAAATTACTAAAAATTCTGCGGCATACCAAAAAAGATATTTCTTGCCAATCTGATGAAAAATAGGTGTAATTTTTATTCATTTGCACCTAATGGCTATCGTTGGGTTGGCGGTTGTCATTTTCTTTTTTTATTTGACAGTCTAAGGGAAAAGAGGTCAGTGCTCCTGACTAAACAGTTAGGCACTGCATACTTTAAAAATTCTTGCAGCACACCAGTGTACCTCTTGTGGCACACCAATCGAAAATTGCTGGACTAGAGTATGGAAAGTGACAGCAACCAGGCTTCATTTTCTTATTTGAAAAAAATAATCATCCCTGATAGGTAAGCTCATAATTCCAAATTTGTCCCTTGCTCCCAGCAAAATAAAATAAACTAAGTAATATTTAGCCCGAACGTGAATCTGTAGCTAAGAAGTGAAAAGGTTTTTAAATCAGTCAAAGCAATCATTAGAAAGAATAATTTTATATTTCCTGTGGGCGTAAGATATATATTGTTAATCTAACAATAATTCTCCTCCAATGTTCCTCATAAAATTTCTAAGATTCATTCTTAGAAAGCTCTCCAAGCAAATAGGCTTCAAAATAAGTGATCTCCAATTCTCTATACATTCAGCTCCCAAATAAATTATCAGAACCACTCAACATAGCTTATGCTGAATGTAACTTCTTTAAAAAAAAAAAAAAGGAAAGACAGAAATAGCAAGGTGGTAAGAAGGTGAACCTTACTTGGTAAGATTTGTAATATGTGGATAGTTCATTACAAGTCCTCTCAGAAACTCTGATAAGTCTTTGTATGAATGGTACCGGTAAAGAGCCATATTTGGTGAGGAACGTAACATGAGGCCTTCCAAACCATTCTCAGCTGAAAGGTCTTTAATTAAAGCTTCAAACTCTTTAGTAGTTGGATCACTGGCATCATCAGTGTTGGTGCTATCTCCTTTTCCTTTCTTTGATTCATTGTTTGAATCTGTTGAAGATCGAACAAGTGTGAAGTTGACCTGAACTGCACCATCACTCTTTACGGTCACGTTCTTGGTAACTGGATTATACCTGTGATAAAGGAGACAGATCAGAGCCAAGCCTCCGCAGTGGAGTGCACAAGCCCTGGAGCAACAAAGGTGTGCAGGCGATATGTGAATCCTTGAGATAAACGTGGTGCATCTTCCTAAAAGAGTCAAATTTTTAACTTTGTGATAATTTAATGTTTGTTTTAAACATTAAACAAAGAACAGATATGGGTATGCTGTAAAACATACATGAATTTTTAAGATTAAATATATGACTTCAAAAACAAGTTTGTACTTGTAGTGGATACCCTCATGTCTCCTGGAATGTGAGTTCACTTGTCTGTTATCAGGATGTATGGTTGGAGAATTTTCAGAGGTACTAACTTAGGATATTATCTACTAAACACATTGTTCTTGCCCTGTTTTTCAGGTACCTTGCTTCTTTATAGTTTTATCCAATACTATGCCAAAAAGGAAGAAAAACAGGAAAGACCTAATTACCCCATCAAGTTACAGACCGCTAGATATTTGAAAATCATTTTTTTAAAAGGTAATGAAAACTATAAATGTTTTCATATACTTACCCTTACTTCAATGGTGTTCAAACTCTTCAGAAATAAGATAGCTAGCAGGGGAAGAGGGGATATCCTGTGGTAACATCTATACTTATCAAAATATGAAAAAGAAAACTACAAGAGGATAAAAATGATAAGTTTCAGATTAAACAGTCAGGCGGTCCAATTCTAAGCTGTTTGAAAGGAGGGGGAAATAAAGAAAATTAATTTTTTTCCAAGGAAATAAAAGTCATAAGTTAATTTTCTCTTTTTAAGTAACCTTTGTGGAAAGAAAACCTGTAAAAATGATAAAAATGGCCTTTCTTAGAGAATTTGCAATAAAGAAATTTCACTGAAGCAGTAAGGTATTAAATGTACAATAAAAATTGAGTGTCTACGAGAAACTATCTATTGGACAACATGACAGAAGTATGCAGCAGAACAGGAGTCTTTCTTCCCAACTAACAGGTACTTCTCAGAATAGTTATCAATAGGGAAGAGAATCACTATGGCTTCACATGTGGACAGGGGCAAGTGATCTGAGATGGGAGGGTAAAAGAGGCCACTGTCCAAGGTGCATAATTTCACAAATTCCCTACTTTTAATAGCTCATATACTCACTTTGCAACTAAAGGAGAGTCATGTGTAACCAGCTCTAAACTTCCCAGTATTAAACTCAAGGCTGCTTAGCCTCTTTTGTGATGTCTGGTAATAATTTTCCAGAATGGAATTGTTTTATTTCCAAACGCTCAATTTCTTTTTTCTTTTTTTAAAAAATATTTTCTTTCTTTATTTTTAGACAGAGGGGAAGGGAGGGAGAAAAACATCCACGTGTGGTTGCCTCTCGTGTGCCCATCACCAGGGACCTGGCCTGCAACCCAGGCATGTGTCCTGACGGGGCATTGAACAGGCAACCCTTTGGTTTGCAGGCTGGCACTCAATACACTGAGCCACACCAGCCAGGGCCCCAAGCGTGCACTTTCAAAGTATTCAGTCACTCACCCTCGAGCAGATGCTGTTATTTTATAAGTCCCTGGAACCAAGAGACGCCAGTAATCTCCATTTTTGTAAGTGGTCACCGGGTGATTTATTTCAGCAACACTAATGGTGGCATTTAATATACCCCTGCCATCTGTGGCATCTAGGACAAATCCTTTGACACCCTGATGAACCTGGATAAAGTACAAGGACACCAAGATCATCATCTAATAATTTTGGGAGCTCGTATCCAATATAATAGATTGTCAATAATGTAAACATGTGGAACAAATAGGAATTTAGGAGTTCAGAGTAAAGCTAAATGTAAATGCCTATTAAACAAAATATTTTAGTTTCTGAAAGGCTAATTTTTCATAGACTAGGTTTGTCTTTATCATAAATATTACAAAATATACTACTTTAGCACATCTGACAATCTCAGAATACAGGACATTCTACAAGAAAACTGGCTTGGCTTCTTTAGAGTAAAAATGTCATTAAAAAAATAGGACTGTTCTAGGTTAAAGAGAGCAAAAGATGTAATAACCAAATGCAATGCATAAAACTTGACTTAATCCTGGTTTTAAAATACAGCTATAAAAAGACATTTTGGGTACAAGAGGTGGAAATTTAAATATGGACTAGGTACTAGGTAATATTAGGGAATTAGTGTTAATTATCTTAGGTGAGATAATGGCATTTGAGGATGGCAAATAGGAGAATATAGCCTTATTTTTAGACGATGTATTCTGAAATATTTAGGTGTAAAATATCATAACAGCTATAATTTACATTTGAATAGTGTAGCAAAAATGTGTGTAATTTATAATAAAAAAACTTCAGTAAAATGTTAAAAACTGTTAAATCTAGGCAAAGGAATAGTAGTGTTTATTGTATTTGTCTTACAACGTTTCTGTATATTTAAAATTTTTTAGAATAAAATGTTTTTAAAAATATGCAAACTCAGAGCTTTTATGCCACTCCACTCAGTAAAAAAAAAAAAAAGTATAAATATATATATATATATATATAATATGCAGAAAAGTACTGGTACAAAGTATTAGTTACATTATCTTAATAATTAACCATTATTAGCATATTTCTTATAGTCTTTACCTATTGGCCACCACGCATATCCAAACAGAAGGAAATAAATCATTTCACACTAAACCACTGGCAAAAATAAAAAGAATAAAAACATTTATCCCATAGCCCATCTTGTTATCACTTGACAAATGCTTGTGTGTGTGTCCAATTGATGTTAGCCTTTTATTAAAGACAGGGTAAAAAGTGACCACTATCTATTAAGAGTAAAACATCACTGCATTGTTTAATCACTTTCAACTCTGTCCCATGCATACAAATTAAAGTCATTTCCATCCATGAATTTTCTAGATAAATGTACTAAAACATGAACAGACTAAACTGGAATTCAAAGGATATATTTTAAAATCACTGCATGAAAACCACATGTATCTTTTTGCTTTTGGGAGAAATCTTATACTTCGCTCCTGAGTAGTCACCTGTTTCATAAACTGGATTAGAGATCTTCGATTCTGTTCCCAAAATTTTGGCAGATCCTTTTCCAATGGGTATTTCACACAACCTAGTTCAATAGTCACTTCAAAGCAATTTGTTTGTAAATAGTTCCAGTCCTGCATGCCACCTAAAGGAAAAAAATTAAAATCATCCAATCTCAGAGCCCAAAAGGTAAGCAACTTTGTCAGTGAAAAACCAAATTCATCTTTTCTCAGCATTAGTTGAAAAACAATAATGTGTTCTTGTGAGAGCTGTTTGATGCTTGTGGTACAGGTAAAACATTTTTACTTTCATGGTCAAGGAGAATTCAAGTGCAGCTTACCCTTGTCTTATTAGCACATCTAAGGTTCTTTCTAACACAGCCAGAGGTAAAATAGAACACTTTTATCAAGATTTAGTACATTACTTTTTTTTTATTCAATGTGCATGAAATATAAAAATAGTTGAAAAGGTTATTTGAATATTTTAAACTATTTAAACAATATCTTTAAAAGAATAATTCTTCCTCAAAATTAAAAGATTAGTAACAAGCAGCATCATCCAGGGGAAGAGAAAATCTATTAAATTATATGATCTTAATATGAAAGAATGTTTACCTGGGACATTATACCAATTAGCCCCATTTGTTATTCCATGAGGAAAGTATTCATTAGGGTATATATTCTTGCAAGGTCTACCTTGAAACATCTGGGAATTTTCCTGAGGAAGGGAGAAAAAGAATCTTTATTTGTATTTGTTTGTGTCTACATCAAAAAGTACAGGAAGAATACGGAAAAATAAAAAAAGTAGTTAATAAGAGGGTGTATGTAGAGGTGGATAGGAGATGCAGGGAGCCATGGGAAGCAGTGAGGCTTTTCAATGCATAGTTTCCTATGCCACCTTAATTTGTTAATATATGACTATTATCTATTTTTTTAATCAAAATTAAATGTGCTCTGTAAAAAAAGGACTTTACTTCTTACAATTAAAGTAAATTTAAACTAATCCAATTCCTCTTACAGAAAGCAAGCCAGTTTGTATTAGTATTTTCATTTCATGTTTTCAAGAACCTTAAAATCCAGAAAAGATTATTCACATACAATGTGCATTAAGCAGCTTTCTCTGACTTCTAGCGGAACTAAGGCAGCCTCTCTATGCTTTGACTGCACTCTGTACCATTCTCTTATCCTGTTACAACTGGTTGCACCTTTTTTCTTCCCTAAGGAAAATATACTACTTCTCAAAACAGTCGTGTCTTTGTGTGCTCAACACCTAGCACAGTGTGTCGCACACAGTACATGTGCAGTGCCTTGTTCAATGAAGAAAAAAAAATTGCCTATTGGAATCTGGAGAAAGTTTATTTCTCACTAGAGTGGCAGGGGAAGCTTTAAAAGATGGTCAAAACTTCATTTCTCTCTTTTGGAAATATAAAAGTACAAAAAAGCATGAAGAGAAAAAAATAACCATGTCCCATTTCAATCCCTGAGAATTAATCATTTAACTTTAAAACATATAAATAGCTCCCTTTCATAAACTTAATATACCAATTACAGGCTTATGATACCACTGCTTTCTTATCAAGTAAAAATTGTTTTAGATTACTGTTATGCTCTCTTTCTTTCTGGTTTTTCCACTGAAGACTTGCCCATATCTTCTATGTCTCTGTCTCTCTCCATTTCCAACAGTATCTATACAGCTATCAATTTAACTATTTAGATATACTACTGTACTAATATGTATATTATAAACCTGCATAAAAATAAAAAATTTAAAGAACAAATTTTAAAATACACATTTCTAATATCTTCATTTAGTATAAATCCCACTCTGGACACCATAGTTCTAAGTAGTACTAACATTTCAACTTTATTCTTAGAGCAAAAAGAAACCAGTGAATATCTCTGAAGAAAGGGTGATATGTGATATATTCATGGCTCTAGGAAGTTTACTTTGCTAATAATGTTAAAAATGGACCAAAGCCGGGGACAAGCATCAGAGTCCTACCAAAAAACATCCAAGTGAGAGATAATGAGCACTGAAAAGGTTGTGGCAGTTTCATTTTACCATGTGCATTTTACTATCTCCCTTATTTCTCACTGCTCTACTTTGGTAATTTTTTTAAAAATCTAATTAACATTTTAAAAGCAAACATTTTGATAACAGAAGACTGAAGGTGAGAATGTAGGGTCCAGTCTCAGGCCATACATAAAGAGTCTAAACGTTATATACCAAGAGGTTAAATAACTGATGACCTCTAGGTTTCTTTTTCCTTTTTGTTTTCCTATATTTTCTAATCTTTTCACAGTAACTTTCATTATATGAAACAATTTTTTAAAGAGACATTGACCTAGTGGTGACAGGTAAAGAAACTGGATGTAGCTGCCAAGACAGTAAAAATGGCAAAGGACATATTATGAAAGGGGGAAAAAAGTAAAAGACATGGTATTGAGCCAATAAGCAAGAAAAAAGCAGAGCTCTCTACTACACAATGAAAAAGAAATCAAGTGGAGAAGATAATAGTGTCAGACTCTGTGGTCAAGAAAATAAAAAAAAAAACAGATTTCGTAACCTTGAGGGGGCACTACCACATAAAACAATGTAGGCAGATGTCGTCAAGAAACAGGCATGAGAAAACAATAATATACAGAGACAAATAGAGACTATTCACTTTACTTCTTCTCTTCTTTTGAACCAATTTTAGACTTGCAGAAAAGTTGCATAAATTCTACAGAGTTTTGTATACCCTTCGTCTGGCTTTCCCTAATGTTAGCATCTTATATAACCATAGTATAATTATCAAAATAAGAAAATTAACACTCGTATAATTCTACTTAATAGAATTCATTGAATTTCACTACACTTAAAATGCAATAGAAATTTTTAAAAAATCAGAGAATCCAGGCAAGCAGAAAGAAGAAATCTAGAGGTCATCAGGTTTAATATTCTGATACATAACTTTTAGACTTTTTTTGGCCTATATATGAACTGAGAATGGTTGCCCCACCCCTCTTACTCTTCTTTAGGTTCTCAAAATCTGTTTTAGACATAACTCACATACCACACAAGTCACCCATTTAAAGTGTATATACAACTTAGTGGTTTTTGGTATATTCAGTGAATTATGTGACCAGCACCACAGTAAATTTTAGGACATTTAGTCACCCTAAAAGAAACCCGTATCTGTTAGCAATCCCCAGTTTCACTCAACCTCTTCCCCATCCCTCCTTGCTGCTCAAGCCCTAAGCAACCACCCACCCATTTTCTTTCTCTATGGATTTGCCTATTCTGAACTTATACAAGTGTAATCATACAAAATGTGGTCTCTAATGGCTAGCTTCTTTCACTTAGCATAAGGTTTTCAAGGTTCATTTATATTGCAGCACATGAATGATTTTGGACTTCTAGTCTCTAAAACTGTAAGGCAATATATCTTTGTTGTCTTAGGCTACCCAGTTTGTGAACTTTGTTACAGTGGCCCTAAGAAACTAATAAAGTAGCCTTTGCAGCCAAAAAATTTTAATTCTGATGATGTCCAATGTATCTACTTATTGTGCTCTTGATGTCATATCTAGGAAGCTGTGGTCTAACTCAAGTTCATAAAATTTATTCCTCTATTTTTTAAAAAAAGTTTTACACTTTTAGCTTTTACATTTAGGTCTATGATCCATTTTGAAATACTTTTTGGGTATGTTGTGAGGAAGGGATCAAAATTCATTCTTTCGCATGTGAACACTCAGTTTTCCCATCACCATTTGTTGAAAATATTGTTCTTTCCCCATTAAATTGTCTTGGTGCCCATTATAAAAAAGAAAAAAAAAAACCAATGACCATTAATGTAAGAGTTTATTTCTGGACTCTCAGTTCTATTTTATTGATCTACATGTACACCCAGTATCACAGTACTTTAATTATCATAGCTTTGTAGTAAGTTCGAAACTGGGAAGTATAAGGCCTTTAACTCTTGTAATCTATTCCTTCTTTTGGAGATAATTTTGTCTTTTTCTTCTACTCCTTTCCTGAGTTCTATCAACTCTCCTTCATTTCTTCCTGTTTCTTTCTTTCTATTTTTATTTTTTAAATATCTGAGCCCATATGAGTGCAGCATTTTTCTTTTTTAGTTAATTAATATTGTGAATTAAACTGACTCATTTTCAAATGTTGAAACAGAAAGTAGTCATAGACTATATGTAAATGAATCGATATGGCTGTGTGTCAATAAAACCTTATTTGAAAAAACAGGTGGTAGGCTGGATTTGGCCCCAGAGCTGGAGTTTGTCCAACCTCATTTTAGACTACTTTACTAGTTTTATAACTTAAGTGCTTGTCAAATGAAATAAACTAGTATGCATATGTTCCAGGTACTGTGCTAAAAACCACAGATGGAAAGACAGTACCTGAGCTTAAAGGCTAATAGGGAAAAACATTCACTATGTTCAAACATGAAGTGGGAAACAGAAGAAAAATTAATAAGGTTGACTAAAAGGAATCGTGAAAGCCTTAACCTTCTAAGAGAAGAAAGCACCTGACTTGAGTCTTGCAGGACTTTGTTTCATTGCATTTTTTTTTAAATGACAGAATTAGTTGTATAGCATGCTATGTTTAAGCATAAGCCTACCTTGGAATAAGAAAGAGCTATTTGTTGAAACACAGCATCATCTGGTGATTTACTGTATGTGGCAAGCCCTTGTTCATCATCATCAAAAGGGTAGTTAACTACTAAAGAACCTACAAGGGAAAAGAGGAAAATGTATCATGTTATCTGTTTCCAGATGAATGAATCATTAACATAGTAAGCTTTTCACAATACTGTCAGAGACAGGAAACCAATACAATTTTCCAAAGCTAATTTCTTCTATTGAAATGGAAACGTTGCTCATTTCCTTAAAAGAAAATCAAAATAGATTAAGTAAAATATTAAATATTATGCATGACACATAAAGTTTAACTGGAAAGATCTTGGGAATTTACCTGAACTTATAGGTATAATTTACATAACAGAGCTGAAACTAGAAGAAAATAGGCTTAATTTAAACAATTTTATTTTTATAATACTTAGGATGAGAAAAATTGAGCAAAGTTTGATACTTTTTCAGCAAAATCCAGACATTTATAAGGCCATCAATCTTAAAATAACTTGGCTTCTTTCCTCAGCTGCCAGTAGGCACTGGCCCTCCTGAGGATGCTAAGGCTGCATCGGTGTAAGGCCCTCACTTTCAGGCTCCCCGGCAGCTCTCGCCCAGCACTCATCCAGGCCATGGCCTTGTACTAAGAGCTCACCTGCATCTGCTTTGCCCTCGGCCCTCATCTTGGCCCTCATCCTGCACAACAACGAGGTGACAGTCACGGAGGATAAGATCATTGCCCTCATTAAAGCAGCTAATGTAAATGTTGAACCTTTCTGGCCAGGCTTGTTTGCAAAGGCTCTGGCCAATGGCAACACTGGGAGCTTCATCAGCAATGTTAGGGGTGGATGGACCTGCCCCAACAGCTAACACTGCAGCAGCAAGAGGTCCTGTCCCTCCACCACTGCTGCCTCAGCTGAGAAGAAATGGAAGCAAAGAGAGAAAAATCTGCGGAGTCTGATGATGACATGGACTTTCATCTTTTTGACTAAACCTCTTTTGTAACACCTTTAATAAAAAGCCAAAAAAAAAAAAAAACCCAGAAAAAAAGAAGGGACTCATCTCATTTTGCAGATGTGGAGTCTAAAACAGAGAGGTTAAATGGGTTATATATGGAAAGCAGAGCCAGACCTGACCTACACTCAGAAAAAAAAAATGCTAAAAATATCTTATGCTCATATTAAAAATTAGTCAACTGGAGTAACGTCATATGATTTTTCATAACCTAAGGTAAATAAAATGATGCTTTAAGACATGTATAAAGGATATCAACTCCTCTCATGCTCCCCACAGGGCATAAAGCAGTTAGGGCGCTTCTCAGACAACAGCCCAGAGCTGCACATGCCCACTCCTCTGACACAGGATGGAATCCCTTTTTTTCTTATTTGTCACCTTGTTTTCTTTTGTCCATTGTCCATTTATCCTGCCTCTACTCAGCCATTCAGCTTTGCTCTTTTTTTTTCTTTTTAACATGCCACTTCATGAGAATGGAAGTGAAGGAACATATTCAACTTAAACTCAGATGAAGTAATCCTATGATAACAAATACCAGCAAACATTTATATATCTAAAAAAAAGTTCTTCAAGAAGCAAGTATGAAGAACCATGCTTATTCTATTCCGCCCAAATAGTCGTACCAACAATAAGTGTACTTTAACTTGTCTTCTGAAACAAACTTCTTAAAAATATTTAACTTCAGCCTGGACCTATGACCCATATCTAAAAATTCAAACCAAGGAGTGGGTGGGGCAGGGGAGAGCAACAGGGGAAAACTGGGACAACTGTAATAGAACAACAATAATAATAAATAAATAAATGCAAACAAAAAAAAATCAACATCAACTCCTACTCAGTATTGTCTTTCAAATGGCTAATTTTTGAAGGCCAAAAGAAAGGTCATGAAAGACTCAAAATACTTCTATGAAACAGTTTATTTTTAAACTGTTTAAAAGATAATTAATATCAAAACAGAAACATAAGTAATAAAAGAAAAAATAAATTTGACTTCATCATAATTAAGAACTTTTGTGTATCAAAGGTCATTATAAAGAAAGTCAAAATATAGTCCATAGAACGAGAGAAAATATTTTCAAATCAGCAATCTGATTAAGGTTATAGAAACCAGACTATATAAAGAACTATTACAAGTCAACAAAGACAAAAAACAGAAACAATTAAAAATAGGCAAAAAATTTGAACAAATACATCTCAAAGAAAAAGATACACAAATGGCCAACAAGCACACAAGGTGTTCAACATATTTAGTTAACAGGGAAATTCAAATCAAAACCATAATGAGATACCACTTTTCACCCACTAGAATGGCTATAATAAAATAAATAATAATAATAAGCATTGGTGAGGATGTGGAGAAACTGGAAGTCTTACACAGGCTGATTGGAATGTAAAATAGTTTAGTTACTCTGAAAATTAGTTTGGCAGTTCCTTGAAAAACCAAACATAAAATTACCCAAAAGAACTGAAAACAGGGATTCAAATAGATAATGTATGCCAATGTTTGCAGCACTATTAATCATAATACTAAAAACGCAGAAACAGCCTAAATTATCTGTAAATAGAAAAGTAAACAAATTGTGTTATATGCATGTGATGGAACCTTATTCAGCCATAAAAAGGAATGAAGTAATAATACATGCTACAAATACAAACAAACCTTGAAAACATTATGCAAAATGAAAGAAGACAGACAAAAAAAGGTCACATATTGTATGATTCCATTTCTGTGAAATATCCAAAATAGGCAAGTCCACAGAGCCAGAACACTGGTGATTGCCAGGGCTCACGGGAAGCGGGGGAATGGGTGAGGAGAGAAAAACACTGTGGAAATGGACAGAGATGGTGATTGCACAATATTGTGAATACACTAAAAATATTACTGAACTGCTCCCTTAACATGGTTAATTTTATGTTTTATGAATTTCATCTCAAAAAATTAGTATCAAAATTTACAAAAAGGAACATTACTTTTCTCTATCTTCTTTCAATATCCTTCTAAAGCGAAATCTTCTTTTGAATTTCTTTGCCAATAGTCCAAAAACCACTTAAAGACTTAAGATAAGAAAACAAAATATGCCATGGAAAGAAACATGTCTACATGATTGAAGATGAATCTCCCACCATGCCACATGTATACCACATGTATAAATTTGTAATTTTTTTCACTGGAATATAACTAATAGGTAAGTTTTCAGATTTAGCCAACATGCTATGTGATATATTCTGAAAATATTTTTAACAGCTCAATATAAAAAAATATTTTCTATCAAACATGGTATAAAATACATAAAATATTTTTAAAAATTATTTTGCCAACCAGGCTGTAACTTCGTAATTCCTATTTGGGTCTTTGAAAATCATCCATGATTACCAACTGTGGAAGTATTTTTTTTTTCTACAGGCAAGCTTTCAAAGCAATTTTTAGAGAATCTCAATTTACTTCTTAAATCTAAATATCCTAAGTATATACTGTCATTCTAAAATGGAATGACATTTTAGGATGGCATTAGGTTAACCTACATGCCACCAAGTCTCAGTTGTGGTACTTCTTCGAATATTCCAACAAATGTTGACATTACATTTCTCTCCCTTTGCCCCTGTTGTTAATACCTTCACTTAAAAAAAAAAACTTTACTGAGATATAATTCGCATACCATACAATTCATCCATTTAAAGTTTATAAGTCGATGTTATTTAGTATATTCACAGAGTTGTACAATCTTCTTCACTGCTATCTAATTATAGAACTGTTCATCACCCCCCCCCCCAAACTGTACCCATTAGCAGTCACTCCCCATTCTCTCCCACCATTATCCACAACTTTCTATCTCTGGGGATTTGCCTATTCTGAATATTTCATAAAGAATGTAATACACAAACCTAGGTACGGCAGCCACATGGGTGCTTGATCATGTGGCTTAGGAAACAGGAAAGCAAGATGTAGCAGCCATGTGGAACCCTCTCTCTTAATGGTTTCAAAGGATGCAGAAGGATTCCCCAGCTTGCCATGATGCAGTTTTAGATTAAGAATGCGAGCCTAGCCAAGCTACAGACTTCTATTTCCTTTTCCTGAGATACAGTATACCTGGCTGGCCTTGTTTGGCAAGGGGAGGCAGGACTGTGTGTGTGTATTTGTGGGTATTTTAAAGGAACTTTGAGATTTAACAGTGACATTCTGCCATTACTCTAAATCTGTATAACTTGTGGATAAATAGTTCCTTTCCTTTTTACCATACTCTGTCACTGAGAGCCACAGTTCATATCAGCGGCAGGCAAAGAACCACCATTGAGTAACAAGACCCCCAGGGGCAGGGGTTTGTTTCTGTAACACTATGAATTGAAAATGCTAGACTTTTTGAAGTATTTAATAATTAAATATGCAAAATTTTAAAATAGTGTATCATCAGGCGACTGATTTCTGGTATTTGTCTTCATACCCAGGAGCAAGTAAAATGAAAAACAGATCATTAAAAAACACTTATAAACAGATAATAATATGACTTTAAAGCATGGTTTCTCAACCTCAGCCCTATTGACATTTTGTGCCAGATACCTCTTTATTTAATGGGGTTGAGCTGTGCATCCTAGGACAGTTAGCAGCATCCCTGGCCTTTACCAACTAGATGAAGCAACCTTCCCAATTTGTGACAATCAAAAACGTCTTTAGAATGTTTGAGTGTCCCAAGTGCCTTAGGACGACTGCCTTAGGGCTTTAAGCCTTAATCCTCTTTTAGAATCTCCATTAAAAAAGTTAAAGAATGTCTCACAGGGCTCTGCTGTAAGATTTTAGACCAGACAATTTGAAGTATTCATTTATCCATACCAGTCATAGGAATTACTAGAATGTGGAAATGGGATAACCATGCTCAACTAAACAACATTCTGGAATGGATCTCAGAATGAAGCATAACAAGCTCTTTATGTGAAAAGCAACCACTGAGGCTGACAATTGCATTTTTTGCACTCTCTGGGCTGGATATGTTGGATTCCTTAGATATGGCAAGCAAAGAGGATACTCCCTGCAGGTCCTTCCCACAGAAGACAGTGAGGATCAAATCTAAATCACTGTGGTTTCTGAGGCTCTTCATACCTGGGTATTCCATTCAATCCATCAAAGAATCCTAGAAGAGCTCATTCTTATGACAGCGGCCACATAGCAATGACCCACTGGCCTTTCATGTTTAGTTATTCTTGGAGACGACCTAAGCCGAGTAAATAAAGAAGCTTGCTTAGCAGGCTTGAGAGCCCTTCAGCTGGAAGATCGAAGTTTTTGTGCAGTACCTGAAGGCAGTGAAAACGACATGTGATTTGTATACTGCACTTCCTGTATTTGCTATGTGTTGAACCACCGGTTTCGCATGGACATAAAAAAAGCCATCAACTATATTAGAAGAATATGTCCTATGACAGTGGGTTGCCACAGGGAGCTGGACTCGAATCTTATGGAGGGTCCACTTTTTGTGGCATTGCATCACTGTGTCTCATGGGTAAAGTACAAGTTTTTTCAGAAAAAGAATGGAACAAGATAAAGAGGTGGTGTATAATGAGGAAACAAAATGGTTATCACGGAAGACCAACTAAACCTGTAGACACCTGTTATTCTTTTTGGGTGGGGGCAACTCTAGAGATGCTTTGCATGCATACTTTGGGCTTTGTGGCCTATCATTGATGGAGGAACATGGAATTTGTAAAGTCCATCCTGCCCTGAATGTAAGCATGTAGACTTCTGAACGCCTTCATGATCTCCATCAGAGCTGGCGAGCCAAGGACTCAAAACAGTGCTCAGAGAATGTACGTTATCTCCACCTGACTGACCTTAGGTTGGGGTGGGGGTGGGATTTGTAGCATAGCTGTAGCTCAAGGTTAAAAGCCATGTATAACCAAGTGTGCTCTTTTTTTAAGAGGTAGAGTATTACAATCAAATCTTGTGCTGCTGTCAATTTGGGTATGGTCTTGAGCCAGAATTTATAGTGGGTTTCAAGAAAATCTTTGAAATTTGAACTAGAGTGGACTCTTTTGTGCTTCTTAAATGGTTATACTATATTTCTAAGAAGTTCTTTTGAGGAAAATTAACTGTATATATGTAGGTTATCTTTTTTAAAACTCTCCCTTACAAATTGTATTATATTATAAATTGGACACAAATCTTCAAACAAATTTACAGTTCACAAAGCAGTGATAATCTTTAGGTGTATACTTAGTGATCATTTTAAAAGCCTGAGTGCTGGGGGTGGAAAATTGCTTTAATGAATTAAGTATCTGGGATTATTCTTTGAAAACAAATGATCCTGTAATTTAAAAACAAAAGTAATCATACAATATACAGTTTCTTATGACTGGCTTCTATCTAACTCAGCATGTTTTCACAGTTCATCTATGTGCATACTTCATTCCTTTCATGTCCAAATAATATTCAACCATAATGGTATACCACATTTGATTTATCCAATCATCAGCTGATGGATATTTGGGTTGTTTATCCTTTGTGATTACTATAAATAATGCTACTATGAACATTCATATACGAGCCTATTCAGAGCTAGCTTTTCAGTTCTTTGGGTATTGACACTGTTACTCTTATTCATATAACCCTAGTTGGACATTGTGATAATTTTTCATCTTGACCTCTCATCCTATTCAACTGATCAATTCCTGCTGAATCACACGGAAGTGTATAAACTCAGATACTACATGAGAATGAGGTCATTGTGCTGAAGTTAAATATATGTGGCAAGTAATAGGTAAGAAAATGTCAAAATTTAGACCTATATAAAAGAGTTTATTAAGCTTTAGGGAGAAATAGGACTAAACATTTAGAGCTGTTAGTGTTCAATTTTTATAAATGACAACAAGCATGTTATCAAATTCCCAGTGAGAGGGATAAATATAAAACACTTGAAGAACTAAGTGAGAGAGAGAAAAAAAGAGAGAGAGAGGGAAAGCTGAGGGAGAGGAAGAAAGAAGAATCCATGGCAGGGAGGACTGTGGGGTAGGGGAGAGATGGGAGAGGGAGAGGCAAAACAGAAAACTGGCTTAAAAAGTAATGAAAGGGAAATTTATCATTGTCTGCCATAAAAGCAGTAACAGGATACCCATTTTAAGATAGCCTAAGACTATAAACAGACAAAATTCCACCAGGATTTTCAAATGCTCTCAATAATAATTAATTAGTAGAATACCAAGCTGCTATTACCTCCATGAAGGTTTGCTGACAGTACAAATGGAAAGGTCTTCATCCAGCTCATTACAGCAATAGTTTCTGGTTGGGTAGGATCTGTGATCTGAACGAACTGGTCTGGGAAATTTCGGTTCAAGTCAAAGTTGTTGCTGTTGTTTCTGCCAATTACACTTATTGAATCTCCTATATGATAAAGGATTCAAATTTAAGCCATGTTTCACTTACATTTTGATCCAACACATACTGCTTTAGATATCTTACCTCAAAGGTAAGTGTGAAGACACCAGGCTTCACTATAATCAATCACACTATGATTAAAATTCACATCTTTTTAAAATTATACATTTTAAAAATCTCTTCCAAATCTTTTGAACAGAGAGGTAAAACCTTTTTTTTTTGTTTGTTTGTTTCTGTCCTCTGGTCATACTTTAGGGGGAAAAAATCCAACTATACAAATTAAAAGTATTGCTCAATTGTCGACAGTCCACATACAAGGACATGGTCAGAATGTTGAGTGGGCATGACTGATCCGAGGGGGACTCCTGTGCTAGCAAACAGGATTTTTACCACTTTATCTATTTTTAGTAAATAAGAGCAATTACCAAAGTAGAGAACTCCATTAATTATAAACTTGATCATATATTATTGAACAAACTGGTCTTACAAGAATACAATAGCTAGAAGTAAATTATAAATTATAAGAATAAAATAGGAAGAAATTTGTGGGAAATGACCAGTTCCAATTCTCTTCTACCCCCAAACAATCACACCATATAATAATCAAAATGATTAAGCATTAAACAGCCATGCTTTACCTTCCTGGGCCTTTTCATACCCATCAGGATTCATGGATGGCATAAGGTGAATTCTAGTGCTACGAACTAAATCTGTAACTTCAGGGTCTGTTCCAAAGTTCTTACAAAGGTATTCAATCAGGTTCAATAGCAGTTCTCTCCCAACCACTTCGTTTCCATGCATGTTTCCAATGTACTTAAATTCTGGTTCACCTGAAAACAAAATAATTACATACAAGACTTTTTTTTCCTTTCCATTTATCAGAAGCAGAAGTCTGTCTGCTTTCCCCCCAACATATACAAAGACACTGAGCCAAAAATTTAAGAAAAGATTTATTCCAATAATAGAAGCAAAACAAAAAAAGCATTAAGCAACTTCCTTACTCATATATATGTCTCAGCAGGCTCAAAGCATGTATATATGCCAAATACTATAAGAAAATTATTAGCAGAAAGAATCTACATAGGATGTTAAATACTATGCCTAATATGAATTATTAAGTGAATTTTCTTCTTTTCTGGCAAGATTGGTTACATTTTCTTTGTTCCAGTTATATATACAATAGGTGACCTTTCAGATGAAACATAGTAGTACTATAGTACATAGATCTAAGAGGCCCTACTGAAATTATGTGTAAGACCACATGAATTACCTGGTTCATGGACACCTGGATTATCAGATATCTCCATTACATAAAGCTCTCTTGACTCCACTGATTTTCCCAGTGAATAAAGCCGGGTGATGTTAGGATATTCATTGGCAAACCTTCTCAAAAAGATTTCCATGTCAGGAAAGTGGTGGTGGCGGAAGTCCTTTGGCTGAATAGGCTGGTGGGAGGATTGCGTTGCAGGAGAAGGGTTAAGTACAGCAACTGTGCTAGCAGTTACTACAGCCTCGGTTGTGTCAGGGATTACAGAAGTCACAGTTGGCCGAAGGGAAAAATTCACCTTTGTAGCTGGTCCTTCTTTCACTATTATATTATTAATAGTCAGTGGCATATACCTGAAAAAAAATGGAAAAACTAAATCGTGTGGAGTTAAATTAAAACATACAATGTTTTATATAATATAATACTTTTCATACTCTAGGACTCAGTGGTCTAACAAAACTCAACTAAATAAACATAAATGTGTAAATTCAAGATTTTTAGCATATTATCTCATAGAGAATCTCTAAAGTCTTTAAAGAACTACTTCTCTTATCATCTTCCCATGTTCCACATATTAGAATGCATATAAAAAATGTCATTAAAAGCAGAGAGAAAACAATGAAAAATAGAGGTCATTCACCCACTGTAACCATTGCTACAATGCTCAAACAAGGGATAAATTACCCAGCTCTTTGCAGTGCCTTATCAAACTGACATTTCAACTAATCTAAATAGGAAAGTTAAAAATTAAATTAAAGGTTATCAGCTAAATCCTTAGCAAAGTGATCCTATAGGACGGTGTCCAGGTGAGGTGAGAAACCACCCATTTCATATATTAGAAAGCTAATAATAAAGACAGCTCTTCAAAATATCTTTTACAGAAACAATGTACTCTGGTATTCAATCAGCCTTGAAGCAATGCTTTACACAGCTGACCATCTTTTTAAGCTTTTAAAATTCTCTTTCCTCCCAAATTTACAATTATGCCTCCTATTCAGTTTTACTATTAGACTATATGACAAGACTCCACAATAGTATTTTCTCATTACGAAAGAGGGGGAAAAAATCAGAAAAAAACCCAAAAACCCCAAAAAAACCCCTCCCGCAATAAATAACATTTCCTAGACTGTATTTCTAGCTTAGATATAAGCAAAGGTTTGGCATTTGAAGAGTCTAATGTAAATTCTTACCCTGTTAAAACTGCCGTAATGTTGTAAGTTCCAGGAACAAGTAATCTGTGGAAATCACCAAATCTGCCTGTTGTGATATTATGATTAATACCAGCCACTGAGATGGTTGCATTCTCTAAGCCAGATCCCGATACCGAATCTTTCACAAATCCTGTAACTCCGATGTGGACCTAAAAAACCAAGAATTACATCAGACTACTCAGAGACAATCAGTTTGAAAGGTAAGAGAGTGTACCATCTCAACATTGAAATAGAATTCATTAAAAAATAAGGTGATTCCTCTATCTCCCTGAAATATTTTTCAATCTCTCCAAGGTAAGTAAACTATGGACAAAAAACATTAAACCCTTAAACTTAAGTCCTATGTGTCTGAAATTTACACTGGCAATGTGTTTTAGAAATTTTTTGTCCTCCAAACCAAACTTCTAACTTTCTCAAGATGGGATAAGTAATAACTTCTGGTATATACCATAGTGTATGAGCCTGTCTGATATTTAAATTAAACTTATGTTTGGGCTTATATCCCAAGGGCTTCTGGTCAAGATGGAGACACAGGCAAATGTGGCTTACCTCCCTGTACAACCATATCAGAATTACAACTAAACTACAGAAGAACCATCATTCAGAACCATCAGAAACTGAGCTGAATGGAAGTTCTACAGCTACAGAATTAAAGAAGAAACCACATCAAGACTGGTTGGAGGGGTAGAGATGTAGAATGGGATGGTCCCACACCCACGTGTGGTGGATAAAAATCAGGAGGGATACCACAGGAGTGAGGGGTCCCAGTCCAACCAGGCACCCCAGCTCAGGGTTCCAGTGCCAGGATGATAAATCTCCATAACTTCTGACTGTAAAAACCAGTGGGGATTGAGACTGAGGAAGAGAGAAACTGCTGGAATCCCAAGCAGTTCTTAAAGGGCTGGCACACAAACTTATTCAGACTCATTTTCTCTGAGCTCCAGCATTGGGGTCGCAGATTAAAAAGCAGCAGAGACATATGGGTAGGAACTGAATTGTCCAGCATCACGGCCAGAGCTGGGTGGCAGTTTTCTCCCCAACAGAAGTGCTGGTAGAGGCCACTGTTCCTTTTCTGAGCCCTCCCCACACAGAGCAGCAGGCAAGTGCCATATCTGAGACTTCATCAACCTAGCTTACACTGTTTGCCCCACTCTGGTAATTCCCTAAAATCCTGCCCTACTCAACTTCCAGGACAAGCTGTTTCCAGTGGCTTTTCATACGAATGGCTTGTCTTGGTCCATGCTTCTGATTTTCCTAAATTCCCTCAAACAAGCAGCATCTGGCTTCAGCAAGCCGTGTACCTCCCACTAAGTGGCCTCAGGCCTGGCACTAGTAGCAATCAGCCTTGGTTCACATCTTGGCCTCTCCTGGGAACCTCCAAGCCCAAGACAAGTAGCAGCCATCAGTAGGTCACTTTGTAGCTTATGCTGTATCACCTTGAACAGAACACAGGCTGTGGCTGACCTTGGACGTGCCAAAAGCTCAAGGTTCAACTATAAGTGGAGGGTATACACAGCCCACACAGTTGGTGCACTCTGAGTACCTAGCTTGGGTAATAGGGGAGGCGGTGCCACTGGACCCTACAGGACACTTACTACATTAAGCCACACTACCAAGCCTGGGAGACGTAGCAGCTGTACCTAATACATTAAAACAAAACAAACAAAAAAACAAAAAAACACAGGGAGGCTACCAAAATGAGGAGACAAAGAAACATGACCCAAATGAAAAAACAGAAAACTCCATAAAAAGAACTAAAGAAAATAAAGGTAAGCAATCTACTAGACACAGAGTCCAAAACACTGGTTATAAGGATGCTCAAGGAACTTAGTGAGGACCTCAACAGCATAAAAAAGATCCAGTCAGAAACGAAGGATACACTAAATGAAATGAAGAACAATTTACAGGGAATCAACAGTGGAATGGATAAATCCAAGAATCAAATCAGAAATTTGGAACATAAGGAAGAAAAAACAACCAATTGGGACAGCAAGAAGAAAAAAGAATCCAAAAACAATGAGGATAATGTAAAGAGCTTCTAGGACAACTTCAAGTGTACCAATATTCATGAAGAAAATAGACATAGAAGTCCATGAAGCACAGAGAGTCCCAAACAAGATGAACCCAAAGAGGTCCACACCAAGACACATCATAATTAAAAGGCCAAAGTTTAAACACAAAAGGGAATCTTAAAAGCAGCAAGAGAAAGGAAATTAGTTACCTACAAGGGAGCCCCCATAAAACTGTCAGGTGATTTCTCAAAAGAAACTTTGCAGGCTAGAAAGGGGTTGGTAAGAAATATTCAAAGTGATGAAAAGCAAGGACCTATAACCAAGATTACTCTACACACCAAAGCTATCATTCAGAATCAAAGGACAGGCAAAGAGCTTCCCAGATAAGAAAAAGCTACAGGAGTACATTGCCACCAAAACCAGTATTATATGAAATGTTAAATGGTCTTCTTTAAGAAGATCAAAAATATGAAAAAAATTGCAATAAATACATATCTATCAACAATTGAATCTAAAAAAAAATAAACAAACAAGCAGAACAGAAATAGAATAATAGATACAGAGAACATTTTGATGGTTGCCAGGTGGAAAGGGTGTCAGGGGTTGAGGGGATGGGTGAGAAAAGTGAACAGATTAAGAAGTACAAATTGGTAGTTACAGAATAGTCATAGGTATGTAAAGTACAGCATAAAGAATAGAGTAGCCAAAGAACATATATAATGCATGGCCCAAGGACATGGACAATGGTGTAAGGCTTGCCTAAGGGAGTGGGGTAGGGGCTGGGTGGAGGGCGACAAAGAGTGAAAAATTGGGAAAACTGTAATAGCATAAAAAATATGACTTTAAAAAATTATGTTCATGGTGTATATAGTGATAAAGGCTCTCTAGCAAATATGATCACATGATTTTGTAAGAACCGGCAGTACAGATTTGGCTAATTATTTCAGTTTACAAAAGTGTTCTATGACAGTCAAAGGAAGCCCTCAAGAGTAAAGAGCTGGGGAGGAGGGCAAGGAGGCACAACTGGAAAATGTTCTAATAGATTCTAACATAATAGTTTCTAAAGATAATCTACAAATTTAAATAATAAAAATAGATAAAAGGTATCTAGTTGAAACTGTTATTTATATGCAACTGAATTTCCCCCATATTTAATCCATTATTTCCATATCCCAACCTTCCAAATCTTACAGTCTGCTACTTTTACCTTTTCAATCAATGTGATCAAAGACTCACGATTATTCTCCCATTCTTGTCGAAGCTGCGAAGGAGGTGGGTATTTGCAACAAGACAGTTCTAATGTGATTTCAAAACAGTTGGCCCATACATAATTATAATCTTGCATACCACCTGTAACATGAAGGGAACAATAAGTTTACTCTCAGGATTCTACTCGCAAAAAGACCAAGGAAACTAAATCTGACATCTCTGCATGTATAAATTTTCATTTCATTGAACTGTTTGAAATTGGAGAAGGTTCTTGAATTACATTGGAGACTAAGAAAGAAGGTTAAAGGCATATACAGGAAAATGAATATACATAAAGGAAATATACCTGATTGACAGGATAAACAGTTATGAATATCATGAACACATCAGTTAATAACAATAGCAATAAATGGTAACAGCTCTATATGCCAAACATGTCCTACAAGCTTTATGTGTATTAATATTTAATATTTACAACTGTAAGAGATAGGCATTAATTACTATTTCACCCATTTTACAGAAGTGAGGCACAGAGAGGTTAAGCTCTTTGATAGAAAAAACATGAAAGGTAAATGTTATCTTAAAGATGTCAAGGATATTCATGACAAGCATTAAGTGTCTATTATTCTAACTCTCCTCCTCCTTTATTAAGAAGGTAGAAAGAGACAGAGGGAAAAAAGGCTCTACATAGAGTGGTACAACTACACAAAGGGCGGGCAGGGCGGGCGTGGGGAGAGACACAACAAAGCCTTTCAAAAACGTGTTTAATGGAAGAGGGAAGCAAGCAAAAAGGGAAATAAGCATCCATGGTTAGCCTCCTTCACTATATTTACACCTGTATAAGCCCACACATTTGTTCTTATAAAGCCTGGTAGCTTATCACTCCTGTCACTTGAGTTTTTGAAAGAGACTTTATTTTAGGTCAATTTTAGGTTCACAGAAAAACTGAGGCAGAAGGTTCAGAGATTTCCCATATACCCGCTGCTCCACACATGCATAGTCTCAATCACCACCGCCACTAGAATATATTTTTGTTACAGCTGATGAACCTACAAAGATACATCATTACTACCTAAAATCTAATGTTTATATTAGGGTTCACTCTTGTTGCTGTATATTCTATGAGTTTTGAACAAATGTATAATGCCATGTTTCCACCATTATAGTACTTTACAGAGGAGCTCCACTGCCCTGAAAATTCTCTGTGCTCTGACTAGTCATCCCTCCCACCCCCAACCCTTGCAGACCACTAACCTTTTTACTATTTTCATATAGTTTTTCATATAGTTCATATGGTTTTGTCTTTTCCAGAATGTCGTATAGTTGAAATCATACAGTATTTAACTTTTTCTCATTGATTTCTTTCATTTAGTAATAGGAATTTAAGGTTTCTCCATGTCTTTTTATGGCCTGACAGCTCATTTAAGTGCTGAGTAACAGGCCATTGTTTGGAGGTACCAGGGTTTATTTATTTAGTCACCTACTGAGGGATATACTGGTTGCTTCCATGTTTTAGCAATTATGAATAAAGTTAATGTAAGCATCTATGTGCAGGTTTTTGTGTGGATATAAGTTTTCAACTCCTTTGGGTCAAGAAATGCCAAGAAGCTCAACTGCTGAATTATGTAGTAAAAGTATGTTAGTTTTATAAGAAGCAACCAAAATGTTTTCCAAAGTGGCTATACCTTTTTGCATTCCCACAATGAATGAGACTTCTGCTGCTCAACATCTTTGCCAGAATTTGCCATTGTTCAGCATTCCCATTCCAGATTTTAGTCATTCTGATAGGTATGCTGCGGGAACTCATTGTTTTAATTTGTGTTTCCCTAATGACATACAATGTAGAGCATGTTCTTTTTTTTAACAAGTCATTACCAGATTACTATTTATTAGTTTGTTTGACGCTTTAGTTATGGTAAGTATGGAATGCAGAATAAAGAACAGAGTCTCTCCCCTCTCTCCCTGGCCACCAGAAATTTGCAGAGAATCAAGAGGCTGGTTGACAGCTGAATGGTTCTTGACATTCTTACAGTACCTTTGCAGAAGGCCTTATAGTATGGTATCAAACTCACCTACTGCTTCTTATTTAAAATCTCCACATTTTAAAAATAGTAAATGAAAATTTAACTGTTATAATATCACTGCCTCATTTTTTGTAACTAGATTGAAATTTCACTCCAGAATTTTTTGTCCTCAAAGTTTCTTCTAGTAGAAAAAGCAGCCTGTTACTTATCTTATAAAATAAGGATAGGGAGGAATTCCTCTCACCCTCCCCCACCCTAGGCTAATTATCTTGAAAATTCCACCAGCTTCTGGTTGCTGCAGAAGAGTCCATTCCATCCTGCCCACAGGTCACACTCATTTCAGAGTAATCCTTCCATCTGAAGCAGCATGAGTTTGTTTTATCAACAGTCAACTACACAGTTTGGAGTCTTTTCCCTTTCTCAGGATCTAAACAAATCACTCTTTTTCCACTGTAATAGGCTACCCAGAGCTTCTCCTTGATACGTTCCACCTTTGATTTATTCTTCTTTCTCCATCTTATAAACACCTGTCTGCAGGTCATATTCTAAGGCATCCATAGAGTAGGACAGCTAACGATTTAATAGAAGATTTTGTGGTCCAGGAACCAATCCAAACCACTGGAGATGTCTACCTGGTCAAAGTACTTTTCCACACGGTGGTCAGGAAAGGGAGTACAGGGACCATTGGTGCCACTCCAGGACTGACAGGGCTGTTTCCTCAGCCATGGTGCCAGCAAAGTATCTCCTAGCAGAATCCACCTCCCGTCACTGAATTGACTGTTTTCCTTATCTTTATCTACTGTGGTGAGGACAATGGTTGACTGAACTTTCCAGTTCAAAGCACAGAACTTTGTTCCAATTGTGGCGACATAGCCTCCTGACTGGCAGAGGGCCACAGAGCTGACTAGGGCAACCACGGCCACTCACTTAACTTCCTTGCTGAGTGAATCCTACCAGCAAACCTTTGTTGCAGTAACATCTACGAAGAGCAGAGAGTCGGACTCTTCCTCCCACACTGGAGGCTCACTGCACAGGCAGTTCTCAGGAGGACACACTCAATCTTAATGGAAGACATTGTCATAGGAAAGATCTTGGCACTAGTGACCCTCAGAGAGCCAGATGCTCAAAGCCATCTTTTCAAGTTTATTTGCCATCTATATATCTTCTTTGATGAGGTGTCTGTTAATGTCTTTGGTCCATTTTAAAATCTGGTGGTGGTTTTCTTATTGTTGAGTCTTAAGAGGATTTGGTTGTTTTTGTTTTTTGTATATTTTAGATAACAGTCCTGTATCAGATGTGATTTCCTTCTTCTGGGGACTGAATAACAGTGCATTTTATGTAAATACTGCATTTCTTTTCCCATTCATATGTCACTGGACATTTAGGTCTTGGCAATTGTGAATAATGATACAGTGAACATTAGTGTGCAAATATCTTTTCAATTTATATATATAAACACAGTGTGTTTATATATATACACACACATATACATATATACACACACCCTGATGGGATGGCTGAATCATATGGTAATTCTATTTTTAACTTTGTAAGCCAGCTTTATACTGTTTTCCATAGTGGCTGCACTACTTTATATTCCCACCAGCCATGCAAAGAGTTCCAAATTCTCCACATCCTCACCAACACTTGATACTTTTTTTTATAGCGGCCATCCTCTGAGGTGTAAGATATCTCACTGTGGCTTTGATTTGCATTTCCCTGATGATTAATGATACCGATCATCTTTTCATATGCTTGTTGGTCATTTGTATATCTTCTTTGAAGAAATAAGTGTCTATTCAACTCTTTTGCTCATGTACTAATCAGATTACTTGGGGTTTTTTGTTGTTGTAGAGTTGTAGGAGTTCTTCATATTTTGAATATTTGCCACTTATCAGATATATGGTTTGCAAATATTTTCCATTGGTTGCCTCTTCACTCTCTAGTTTCCCTTGCTGCACAGAACAATGAAGCCTCTGAGCAGAGGCATGATGTAATTTGAACTGTATTAAAAGATCATTCTGACTGCTGGGTGGAAAATGATTGGGAGGGGGTGCAGAAAGGGAAGCAGGGAGGTGGATTAGAAGAGAATGGTGGTTTGGATGAGGTTGGTTATAGTGGAGATGAGGCAAACAGATTTGGATGTTCAAAGGATTTGTTTCTAAGGAATCAAGGATAACTTCTAGACTTTTGGTTTGAGAAACTAGGGAGATAGTAGTGCCATTTACTGAGAGGATAAAGGAAACAATGCAAAGAGATATGACATGCCTAAGGCTCTTTGTTCTTCTCTTTACTTCTTTCCTTGGTGCATTCTGTATCTGTATGGTTTTAAATATTATCTACAGGCTGACAACTCTAAAGTTTCTATCTCCAGTCTAGGCCTCTTCCCCAGACTCCAGTCTTGTACATTCAAGTGACCCTCTACTCGATACCTCTACTTTGATACTGCAAACTTAATATATATCCTCATCTTTCTTAAACCTGCTCCACCCACAATCCCACTCCCATCGTGGTTAATGGTATTTTCATCCTTCTAGTTGTTCAGGCCAATATATCCAAAACCCAAAGATTTGTATTTCTCCTGACTTCTACTGCTGCTGCTCTGGTACAAGCCACGACCCTTTCTCCAGCTGGATTTCTGCAATCACACTAAATAGATCTTCCTGTTCCTGCCCTTGTCTTTCTATATTCTTTTCTCAATAGAGATGCCAGAATAATTCTATTGAAATATAAGTCAGATGCTATTCCTCTGCACAATGACTCCCTATTTCACTCAGGCTAAAATCCAAAGTCTTTGCAGTGGCTGAAAGCCCTACATACTTTGCCCTCCACCACTCCTCTTTCCTCTCTAACCTCCTTTTACATTCTCCCAGTGACTAGACACAACGGCCTCCTTGCTGTTCACTGGAGGGACCAGGTATATCTTAACTTTGCTCTAGCTGTTTCCTTTGTCTGGAATGCTTTTCTCCAGATACCCCTCCTTGACTCCCTCACTTCCAGCTCTTTGCTTCAATTTAAACTTGACAATAAGCCTTACTCGTACCTCCTCATTTAAAGTTGCTACTTACTTCTTTCCTTGAATATCCCAAGCTCATCCCATCAGCACTTGTAATTCCT